TTTGTTTTATGAATTACAAGAGTTGAAAAAAATTAAAAATTTTTAAATGTAATTTTTATTATTAAAAAATAAGTTCTTAAAATAATAAACCATATCCACAATGTTTGTTTAAAAAATCACAACTTTTTTTTTAATTACAAGAATTAAACAAGAAATTACAAATTGTTAACAAGGGTAAAATAATTTTTTTAATTTAAAATTTATTAACAAAAAGATCTCAAGGAATTTTATTGAATCGTGACATTTTAAAGAATTAGATTATCATTTATATAATTTGAAAAGATTTTATGTCATTCTCCCTAATATTAAACTAGGAAAAGGAAAATTGTAGTTAAGGATTTGAAGAAAATATTATTTATTAGAAATAATTTTTAAAATAATAATTATTTAGAAGGGCCAAATGCTATATATAAATTTTCAAATATAAAATTACCCATAATCAAATTTCTTATATTTTTTTCTAAATACATCTCAAACTGAATTTGATGACTACTTTACGGGCAATGGTAAATGAACAGATAATATTGAAAACAAAAGCAAGTAAAAAATTTCTTTAACTTTGAAAATTCTCAAGTTTGAATATATAAGAGGAGTTAAATATCATCATGAATCATCAAATCAATTCAAGGCCTTTTAATTACTACCTACTCCTTTCGTTTAAAAATATAAAGTATTTTAATTAAATTTTACTTTTAATAAAATAGTTATCTACTGTTAAACTAATTTTATCTTTTCATATTGCTCATATTAAACACCCTACAATAAATATAAAATCGTTATCAATGGAAGCACTTTAAAAAAAATAATGATTACACCTCGAAAGATTAAAAATATTTTATATTTATAAATATTTAACTCCTTAAAAAATGTCTTGTATTTTTTAACAGAGGGAGTAACATTTATAGATGCTATTCGTCATGATTTGAGGATAAGCTTACATTTAAAGAATCTTTTTAAACTAATGAAAAAAATAAGATGCAATGAAATTTTAAAAGTAAATATTTTTTAAATTATATTGACTTAATTTTTTAAAAATAGAGATTTTAAAATTATATTCAATAAATTATTTCAAATTAAATATTTTTTAAATTGTATAGATTTAATTAAATTTAATACTGTCTTTTTATTTTTTATACTTGTGGAATTAAAAACTGTAGAACCTTATTTTAAAAATATTTTCTTGGTAACTTATGTAATACTTCAAGTTAATTTTAAAATATTATTAACATATTTTATATTAAGGTTATAATAATCAATTATACTTATTTTGGTCCTTCATCCTAATTTTAATTTTTATGGTTCTTTATGATAAATTTTAATAGGATTAGATCTCTCTTTAATTTTCCCAAAAACAAAAAATATTATGATTGTTCCTGTGCTTTAACTTGTGTAGAGCTTGGGTGAAACTTTTCTTTTTAAATGCAATATCTATCCTATATCGTATTTGAAATCCTAAATTTTTGTAGCTCGTTTGATAGATTGATTTTCAAAATATTTTGAATTTTTACCCTCACGATGTAAGGTGTCATAGAAAGCTAGTGAAACGGAGTTAAACAAGGAATTCAAGGTGCCTAATTTCAGATGTCGATTACTTAGCACCTTGGTGTCTAGAAATTTTATTGGAAGAATCATACCAAAGGCAAATGTTTTCAGTAAAAATATTTATTTACCTCTCATTTGAAATGTACAACTTTCTCAAGTCAATATACAATAAAATTTTCATATATAACATGATAATATCCATTCATCACACATGATCCATGCAATTTAGTTGAACAAAAATATACAAAATTTTTAAGTGCATGAACAATAGAATGCATGTATATAACACAATAAGAACTATTCATTAACAACATGATATCTGTTCATTATAAATAATTCACGTGGTTTGGTTAAACAATAATAATAGATAAGTTTTCCATATATTTCAACAATAGAATGTCCCTGTTTGACATGATAAGGGCCATCCATTAATAACATGATGTTCATTCATTATATATAGTTCATATGATTTAGTTAAATAATAATGTATAAGTTTTCAGGTGTATGAACAACAGAATATTTGTATATAATATGACAAGATTCATACATTAATAATACAATTTTCTTTTATTAGACATGGTTTGCACAAGATGTTATTTTCTCAAATGAGAGGCAACTGAATCATTTCACTATAAAATATATTTGCACATAAGACCTTTGAACTCAAATCAATTTGAAACTGAGACATGAATTTCTTTGATATGGGGTATTAGGTGCGCTCCATATTTTATTTGAAAAAATATCAATTAAGAATCAATGAAGCATATTTATATCAGCAAATGATCAGTAGATTCTAAAATTTTATTGTAGTCATTTGGTTTTTAATCAATACTAATTTTTTTATGTTAAATAACCAAATTTTTTCCAAAAATTTAAAATAATAAAAAAATTTGCTATTGGTCAAGGGAGCTCCAATGTGGGTGACACTTTTTTTTTCAATTGGTAAAAATGGTTAAGGTAGGTTTGATCCCACAATTTATTAACTACCTAAAAAGCAGCCACCAAGGCCATTTAATTGTATGTGGTAAAAAAATAATAATCCAAATTTATAAACCACTTTTATATTATAACATATTAGTATATTATTAATTTTAGAATGACAATTATTATTTTATTAATGTTACTTATTATCCAATATGTTTAATTATAAATTGAGAATTTTAAAATTTTATGTATTTTTTTGTTAAATTTTGAATGTATTTTTTCAATCATTAAATGATTGTTGTCGAAACACAAATGGATACTTATTGATGAATAACTAATACTTATACAATTAAGCTCATCATATCAATATTATATTTAAACTTGAATGAATTGTTGTTAATTTTAAAAGAGTTGTTGAAATCTAAATAAATACTTGTTAATGAATGACTAATACTTGTTCAATTAAGCATGTCTTATATGTTTTTTTAATGTGTTAAAACCTGAATAAATTGTTATTAATTTTGAATGTATTGTTATGAAAACTCAAATGGATATTTGTTATTGATAATTGAAAGTGCAAGTCTAATAGATCGAACAAGTGTATAAACAATAGATTTGAATTTTGACAAAAACACAATTAAAATTAACAACAATCTATTAAAAATTTAACAAGTTAAAAAAAATAGATAGGATGGGTTTAATTATACAATTATTAGTCCTTTACCAAATAGAAAAAGTGATAGGATGAACTTAATCATACAAGTGTTAATCATTCATTAACAAGTATTTATTCAGGTTTTGACAACAACTCATTTAAAATTAACAACAATCCATTCAAGTTTTAATAAATTAGAAAAATTGATAGGAGGTGATTAATTTTATAAATATTAGTATTTCACTAACAAGTATCAATTTAAATTTTGACAACAATCTCGAAATTAACAACAATTCATTTGAACTTTAACACATTAGAAAAAATGAGGAGGGGTTTAATTATATAAGCATTAGTTTTTATCAGTATGTATCTATTTGAGTTTTCACGACAATGCATTTGAAATTAACAACAATTTACTAAGGCTTTAACAAGTTAAAAAAAATGAATATGATGAATTTAATTGTATAAGTGTTTTTTCTTTATAAAAAAGTATTCATTTGAGTTTTAAATACTCTTTTAAAATTAATAACAATTCATTTGAATTTTAACAAATAACTAATAGGATGGATTTAATTATACAAGTGTCACTTATTCATCAACACGTATTCATTCACTTTTGACAACAATCATTTTGTGATTAACAATAATACATTCAAACCTTAATAAGTAAAATGCATGAAATTTTAAAATTTTTAATTTATAATTAATTATACTAACAAGTAACATTAGTAATATAATAAGTGTCATTTTAAAATTAACAACACACCATTATATCTTAACATGAAAGTGGTTTAGGAATTTGAATTACTACATTTTTTTATCTTGTCATATATAATTAAATAAGTTTGGTAGTTATGAAGCTTTGTCGGTGGTTAAGAGATTGTGAGATCAAACCTCCTTATACCTTTACCAATTTTTTTTTTTTTAATGTAACCAATATCAAAGCTCTAGTGACCTTCCTAGTGGCAAGGTCTCCACTGGCAATTCAATGATTGGTGATAATGAATTATTTTATATTTTATGAATAATTTAATCATTTCACATGAAAATAATATCAATTAAGGATTAAGATAATGCATTGAAATTTTTGAAATTAAAACCCTTGATTGATATAAATATATTTTATGGGTCTTGGATTGATATTTTTTTCACTTTATTTGAACTGATTTGACAAAAATTCTCCCGCTCTGTGCATTTGTTTTAGTTTTACGAAGTCATATGAAAAAAAGAAGAGAAAAAAAGAGAATGAAAAGAAAGTAAAATACTAAAATGTAATTCGATGACGTACGGACGACAGAGCTCACTGAGGCACTAATGCAATAACATCGAATCATGGATGATGACGATTGTGACGACAGCGTGGCCCCCAATGTCTCAATAGATGACAAAGTCGGCGGGTCCAAATGTCAGCCGCCATTAGTCAACAAACGACGTCGCATACCTCGCCACTGCATCAACATTGAAAGTTCACAGTCTTTAGACTGTTTTAATCTTAATGATGCAGATTTTCAATTTTTTAATTAATATATTTTGAATAAAAAATTATTTTTTGAAAAAACTGAAATTTAAGAAATTATTTTTACTTTCAGTTTAACATCTATTAAAATAACTTTTTAAAAAATAATCAGAAAAAAAAATTATAAATCTAAACCATTTAAATTAGATATTACAAAAGTAATAAGCTTTCCTTTTTCTTTTTCTTTTTTTTTTATTTGATAAAAGCAATAAGCTCTCTGTACTCATGTGTACAATGACCACTTAAAGTGATTGCCTCGTCACAGCCACGTCACTTAATCACTGCGAGACGAGAGGTCGGACCTACGTAATCGCTCATCTTTTTGGATGCATAGTCGACGATGATCACAGTCATCACAACCATTGCTACCCAAACCACAAGCCATAGAGATGGCGGGTAAAGCTTCCTGTTTATCCTTTAGTCCTCTCGGTCGAGGACGACGACCCATAAATTTTAGATAATATCGTACGTTGACGGGTCTCCGTCTCGTCGCCTTCCTTGAACCCAAGATTTCTGCTACTGACAACAACTGGCTTCCTCTTATTGGACGCTTGGGGCTCAGCTTTCATTGAACTGCTGGGTTCTCTCTCTCATTCCCCTTCAACCCATTATTACAGTGGCTAATCATGATCAAATATTCAAATCCTTTGAGAGGCTAACAAAAAGCCTCGACACTCTGTTTCTTCTTATATATCATTCCGTCTGGGTTTTTGACTCCATGCATGCAGGTTTGTGGTTTCGCTGTTGGTAGAGTCTGGGTTTTTCCTCGATCATGATTCTCTGGAACCCTTGCTTCTTGTTAGCACTGCTTATTTATGGTACAACTGCTGCACCAAAGACGCCATGAAGGACCGAGTTCTGCTGCTTTAAAATTAGCGAAAGTTCGGCGATGTTTTTTTCTGTTGAGGAACTGTCTAGCGGTGTAGCAATCTGTAGTGGTCTGAACACTTGAGCCGAATTCTGTTTTACTGAAAGTGGAATTAAGATATGCGTATACAATAGGGTAGTGGCATATATGTTGGTGCATAGTTGCTTGGAGCTCTCTCTGGAATTCTTCTCTTAAGCTAGGATATCCTCTTCTTCCTATTCCTCTGCTTTCCCCACATTGGGTAATTATCTTCTCCTTTTGCCGAGTATGGTGTGCAGAGATGCATGCTTCTGTTTGTTCATTTACAAAGATACACCGATGAAGGATTGAGTTCTTATTTTTTTTCGGTGTATTTTATTGACATCTTGGGCTTCCACTAAAATTCGGGCAACGACATTTAATTCTACTGCATGGAGCTACTTAGCTGACATAAATCCGTCGTGGCTTTTGTTCTTATAACATTAAGGATACATAACCTTATGATGCTGCCAATTTATACATGCATATATGTATGTATAATATTTGCCTTGGGTATACTAAAATTCATATCATATATTATATATTAAAACGACTCAAAAACCCGTGCATACGCAACTAATTATTGCGTATATTTCTGCCACTTTAATTTACTTCTAGTTTGCTATGTTGTGAGATGAATACTACCTGTTGCTGTTGTAATTTACTCACTTTTGGTAAGCCTTACAATTTCAGCATGCAACTTTCCACTTAGTAGTTCAATCTCTCAGATGTTCTCAAATCTATCATGCGGCGGTTGCATCAATAATAGAAGACATTTTATGCAAGAAGGGCATTCACCTGCTTTTTGTTCTCAAACTAATTATTGCGTTTTAATAGAATATATTTTATGCAGCGTTTTAATATCATATATTATTTATTAAAACGACTCAAAACCCCGTGCATTCGCAACTAATTATTGCGTATATTTCTGCTAATTTAATTTACTTCTAGTTTGCTATGTTGTGAGATGAATACTACCTGTTGCTGTTGTAATTTACTCACTTTTGGTAAGCCTTACAATTTCAGCATGCAACTTTCCACTTAGCAGTTCAATCTCTCAGATGTTCTCAAAGCTATCATGCAGCGGTTGCATTAATAATAGAAGATATTTTATGCAAGAAGGGCATTCACTTGCTTTTTGTTCTTGCTCTTTCTAGTTGGCAGCTTTAGGACGCTTCAGTAAATAAATGGTTACTGGTACCAGTGAAGTAGCACACAAGCTGCCAAATCCCTGCTCGTTCAAGGTACACAAATTTAGAGAACGGAAAAAAAATTGCCGCAGGCTTTTATTTAGTCAGTTATATAAATATTTATGTTTATCTTTCTATTGGTATGCTTAAATTGACAGTATATTTTCCAAGTCTGTCAAAGGTTGCTCCTTTCAAATTAATTGCCCTATCTTACTCGACATAGAGGGGAAAAAAAGGAAACTGACTTCTTTTTTAAGGATTTCCCGGTACATGTTCTACTAAAATTGGATTTGAGAACAAATTATTCTATCAATTGAAGTGAATGATTCCAGGTGCATCATGCAATGTGCATGGAACTCATGAGATTAGTTGATAGAATCTCAAAGATATTACCAGATCTAGAGGCAACACGACCTCGATGCTTGTCGGGAATACAGTCTCTGTGCTCTCTGAACACTGCGATTGATAAGGCCAAACTCCTTCTGCAACATTGCTCTGATTGTAGCAAACTATACCTGGTGAGTACTGAGTAGCTTCCGTCATTGTGGCCGAAGAAATCTATAATTGTAAAGCCTTTTGTTTTCTGATTTAATAAAGTCAAAACATTTAAAACAGCGTGGGCCTACCTTTTTGTGAACAACTTCATTAATTAATTACCATTTTGGTGGTATGGTTAAATGGAATTAATGTTACTTTCAGGCATTCACGGGACATACGGTCCTCTTAAGATGCTTAAAGGCAAGAAATTCTTTTGAGAAAAGCTTGGACAAAATTCAGAGTATGGTTACAGTTTTATTGGCGGCAGAGGTTTGTTAATTACCAAGCTTTGATCCTTTTTTTTTTTTTGGATAGGTTCGTTATAAAACAGAATGCACATTAACTAGTGTCGTTTGATGTTCTTTTCTCTGATTCCTTATCTTTATATTTTGACACGTTTGGAGCCTTGTATGTTGTTCTAACTGGCACTGTAATGTTGCTTTGCAGGTTTCTCAAATAATTGATGATCTGGGATGTGCGACGTTTGTCCTGGAATCATCCGAAGAAGAGGCTGGGAGGGTTGTGAGAGAACTGCTGCAGAAAAGTCCTTCGACATCGGATTCAACCGAAGATTACGAGATTAAAGCTCTTCAGATTGCAGCAGCAAGACTTAATATTACATCCCCAAAGGCCATCTTAATAGAGAAAAGATCTATTAAGAAGTTGCTAAATAAACTTGGGCCAAATGAACCAACGAAAAAGATGATCTTGAGGTATCTTTGGTATCTATTGAAAAAGCATGGAAACCATATCATGGGAGGGAAAATTGGAAAGGTCCATGCTCTAAGCAATGAACCAATTGCAACTGATAAATCAGCTCACAACCATGAGTTGAGCAGAGCTGTCTCCCCTGAGGGGTACAGGTGTCCGATATCTTCAAAGGTGATGTACGATCCTGTAGTCATTGCTTCTGGGGAAACATATGAAAGGATGTGGATACAAAAGTGGTTTGATGAAGGTCATGATACATGCCCAAAAACTGGGAAGAAATTGGCCCATATGTCTTTGACACCAGATATTGCAATGAAGGACTTAATATCAGACTGGTGCAGAGATAATGGTGTTACCGTTACTGACCCTCGCAGGCGAGCAGCATATTTCAACTCACGGGAATCTTCCTTTGCTTCCATTAGGAGCTTTAACGTTTCTTTGAATAAATTACACTTACCAGTGGATCTTAGTATTGTGTCACTGGGATCAACAGATAGTTATGATTCAGATTCCTCAAAGAATTTACCTGCTCATGACTTAAATTTAATGCTCATAAGATCTAATGACAATTCTTACATACATCAATCTCATTCACACATAGATGGTGTAGATTTAATGCTTTTATCTCAGTTCCCCGACCTTCAATGGGATTCTCAATGCAAAGTCATTGAAGATCTGAAAGTTTGTTTGAAGAGCAATTGCCAAGCTTTTTGTTCTTTGTCGTATGACGATTTCATTGAATCACTCATCAAATTTCTGAATAATGCATATGATCTGCAAGAGACAAAAGCTCTGAAAGCAGGAGCTCAGCTGCTCTTTGAATTTCTGAACAAGCACAGGTATTTCTTTCTTTTTTTTCTTTTTTTCTTTTCCTTTCTAGTGCGACAATGCGTTGTAACCGACTTGGCTGACACTTATGTACTTCTAAAACAAGTAGGGATTTAAACTAACAAGGAAAGCTTGTTTTAAAGTTTCCATGCAGTAAGGAGGTTTTAACTAACAATGAACATGATATAAAATTTACGTATGTTATAAAGTTTTCTTGTAATCAGGAGGATTTACAATACCTTCTTTTTAGTTTCTTGCTTATACATTAAGATTATTGTATCGTTCAATCTAAAAGACTGAATTTAGATGGTCGAAACATAGTGTTGTCTGACATTATTTGAATGACTTAATTATGGTTTTCTTCCAGAAACAACCTAGTATATCTAAGTGATGATTCGTTCAGTATGTTGGGCAATCTTTTTGACTCACAAGTTAAAGAAGAAGCTCTTGCCATAATGGAAAAACTGTCCGAGTGTGAGCATATTAGAGCTAAAATGGCAGCATCCAGTGCACTCACTCCCATTTTAAAGATCCTTGACTCGGGGAGCAGAGAGCTCCAGCAACAATCTCTTCGAATATTGTACAATTTGTCCTTCAACAGTGAAGCTTGTCGCCACATGGTCCCTCTCCAGTGCGTCATCCCAGGATTACTGCCATTTTTTAAAGATGGGACTTCGTTAAGATACTGCATATGCATGATGAAAAACCTTTGTGATACAGAAGAGGGCAGGGTTTCTGTTGCCAAAACCGAAGGATGCATATCTGCTGTTGTTGAAATACTTGAGACTGACAGTGACGAGGAACAAGAACATGCATTGGCTGTCCTACTCTCTTTATGCTCTATAAGTTTGGATTATTGTCGGCTGGTCATGGAACAAAGGGATTGGGTTATTCCCTCCCTTTTCTTTATCGCGCAAAATGGCAAAGACAAAGGAAAGGCGAGTGCATTGAAGTTGATCGGACTTTTGACTGATATTGTAAGTGTTGAAAATGAAGAATGCTTGAAATCAACTCTCAGCACTTCTCAAGAACGTAACCATAGCTCTCAACAAAAGAAATCATCAAAAATATCAGACTCTTTCAAGAAGTTTTTGGTCGTGTGCTTTACAGGCAAGAGATGAAACTGAATCCTTCTTCATTTCAGTCCCTTCGATATTCTTGAGATCCTCAGAAACGAACCAATGATTAAGGGCTATACCAGAATCGTTCTGGTTTGCCGGAGCCCTAATCTCGGTAATTAGGTTGGTATGGGCCATGGCCTTCTTATAGTAATCTCGTCTACAGCACTTATTCCCCATTTATATCTACGCAATGGGCATGTTTGCTACCCAGTAACTGCATGCCGTGGGATTTATTTTTCTTCTAATATTCAATTGGTCCTGGACGAATGTATCATATTACTACATGGAATAAGTTTGTGATAAGCAGGGTTTGTGAAAGCATATCAAAGCCTTCCAAATCTCCCCCCCCCCCCAACAAAAAAAAAAAAAAAACACACACACACACACACACACACAACTAAGTCAGATTCAACTTTCAAGCAGAAGTTTCTCTTTCTTTAGTTATCTTATATGAAATAAATTTGACTCATTTGGTGCAGCCAATATAGATATTAGAAACTTGCGATATAGAGCCTAAAACACAAATTGTGGAGAGACAATTAAGGTAGGGTGTACGTAAACGCAGGACCTAATTCATATTATTTGGAAATACATATTCGTTTTATATGAACAGAATTTTTTTTTATTTTATTTTGGCGGTTGGGGGCGCGGGAGACCTATTTTTATCATTCAGCAACTAAAACTAGATTATGATCAAATCCTGACACAGCCTGCTTAACTTCACAGCCTTCTAAGGAATCAAGATAAAATGGCTCAGTTTCGTCACTTGAGCTTCCTGATCCTAGCCTGCCATTCCTTCCGGAGCCCCAAACCCACAAGTCTCCTTTTGATGTAAGAACCAAGGAATGTGCTCGCCCTCCTGACACTGAGATTGGATTTTCTCCTTCTAACGCCTCAACCAAAGATGGGAGGTTCTCTGGCCCAGACCTTCCAAGTTGACAACTCTGGTTCCATCCCCATGAAGCAACGCTTCTAGTTCCTTCACTAGCATCATCTGATGCAGCAAATCGGCATATTGCCAGAGAATGGCCTAGCCCTGATGCTATAGAAATGGGGCATAATATTATGTCAACTGGAAAAAATCCCAGATCTTGTCTCACTCGGCCCAGCTGTCCATATATGTTGCTTCCACCACTTAATATGGTATGGTCACCTAACATTAGATAACCAAAGCTTAGAAGGAAAAGCATGCTTCTCAAGCATCCACACAAAGTTATGAATAGCAACAAATTTTGGTCCCCAGAAGATATACAGATATACCTCACTGTTCAATCTTTGAATTTATCCTTCACACGAGTTAGTCCTTCCTAGTTTGTAACTTGCCATATGTTAGTCTCTCAATTGCACCAAATTGTATATTTGCTCAGCTTGAAGGACACACTCAATCTCACGCGCAATAAGTTACTAAAGTTTGAGGGACTAATTTGAACAAGAAAAAAAAATTCAAGGACTACAGCATAATGAGGTCTATTTTTCAGGAATCAAGTTGTATATTTACTTAAAAAATGAATGTAGATAGATGCCTGTTACTTACAGCAAAGAACTAGGGAGTGATCAAGCCCACATGCAATGTCTACAACTTCAACGCCACCAAGTTCTTCCACCAAGCAAGGTTCCCATATTATTGGCATGTTATTCTCTCTCTCCATTGCTTCTAAAACTCGCTTTTCAGCAACTTCCAGATCTGAGCTCGAAAGTTGTTGTGTATTTTTAAAGATGTCATCATTGGAATCCAGTGGGGATCTCTCCAAGCCTCCCATTTTTCCTAGTCTACCATCAGCTGAATAGCCCCAGCCAAATAACTTTCCATCCACAGTCTGGGCAAGAGCATGACCCCAACCAAATGATACCTATCAAAAGAAGTAAAAATAAGTAAATACTTAAACTTGATGTGCAGATTTACATCTATAGTAAATTGGGAAATAAACAGACCAACAAAGTCATTAAGAAGACATGCGCCAATTGGGTTTGATTTCAACCCCACGTCCCCCCTCTTCGCCCCCTCTCAACCTCAAGGCCTTGGGCCTTCTATATGACAAAAGATGTTGGACATATTTTCATAGTTCAGTTCTATTCTACCTTGAGAATGTGAAATTCACCTTAACCACTTTTTCTCCTGCAAGAGCCTGAACTTTGGCAGGTGCAACAGCCTTGATGATATCTTTCCCAAGACCTAATTGGCCACGTTTAGACTTTCCCCACACCCACAAAGAACCATCATCACCAATAGCTGCAGACACAACGCCAGATGCAAATGCAGCACACACGTTTACCTGTTCTAACCCCAATACTTTTTTTGGCTCGTTCCACGATTCCCTGCAAAGATTTCCCCCAGCCAGTAATTTAACTTTCCCTCGCAGACGGAGAAATCCAAAAATTAAGAAACAAATAAAAACTTATCTCAATGTCACAGGTTTTAGGCACTCTTAATTACCATAATATACAGTGAATATTAGAATCAAGTGAGTCCCGTGGTTGATAGTTCCAACATATGCAGAAAATTATCAACTTGAAACTGTTTCATTCAAAAATTCTATTGCATAGTTTAAAGCAAAACGCAGGCATTCTTCATAAAGTAGCAATTTTTTGGGCACTCTCATAAGTGTCATACGTACAGGGCATATTGGAAGCAAATGATTACGTTGATAGTTCCAGCATATGCAACATATATATATATATATATATATAGGGGACAACTATATTTTGCTAATTCATACAATAAACAGAGATATTTTCAAGCACAAACCATAGAGAGAGTAAAATTCACCGAGGGGAAATATCATGTCCAAGCTGAACTTCGCTGTTTCTGCCCCAAGCCCAGAGGTGGCCGTGAGAAGTGACGGCGAGGGAGTGATAGTGCCCGGCGCTTAGGCTAACGATATCTGAAGGTAGACCCGGAACGCGGGTAGGCTCGTATGCGTCTACTCCAATACCTATTTTGGAAGAAGGCAAGCCCAGAGCGCCCTGGCTGCCATCTCCAAAGCTCATCACGGTTGCTCCGCCGCTGCTCATACGCCTTTCCTCGTGTAGACGGAGAGGATGGACCCCACCAGCACTCCCACTCCATTTCTGACAGGCAGCCGCAACTTTCAGTTTCAGCCTTGATCTCAGCATTTTCTTCCCATGAGGCTACCCTACCCCCGGCTGCACCTGCGCCTGTCCGACGCTCACGGCTTTGTCCCTGGCCGTCAAGCCCACTAGCCCAGCTGTACAAAGTACAAACTGCGAAACAAAGTTGAATCCACTGAGAAAATAATTAGGGAGAATATTTAATAAAACGACTTGGAAATTATTAATATTCTCCTAAATAATTATATTTTTTTTATTTCGTCACCTGTTATCTTGAAAAATTTAAAAATATTAGCCAAGATTTTAGTATGACTTAATTTGACTCCTTTAACAATGAAACCAAGCATAAAATTACATTTAATTTATGATGAATATTTATATATCTTTACAGTTTCATTTAATTTTAAATTAATTTTTTATAATTTATTTTATTTTAATTGAACCTTATAATTTAATCAATTAAAATTTTTAATTCTTAAAATTTAAAATTCTTGAATTTTTATTTAAAAAATAAAAGTAAAAACTTTATATTTTTATCAAATAATTATATAATTTTAGAATTAATTACATAATTTTTATAACTGGAAATTTATATGACTGAATTATTTTTGAAATAAGTTTATACATATATAATTTTCATAAAAAATTAATAAAAGTGTATTAAACTGATTTTTTATTTTGGCTGAAAACATTAAATTTAATTTTCTGCAAAATCCAAGAATATTTTTATATTGTAAAATTTAATAATTTATTATTTATTTTAACTCTCAGGGGTTAATATATATATAATAGATTAAATTATAAGGGTTTAATTAAAATAAAATAAATGATAGGACCTAATTTAAAATTGATCAAAACTGTAAAGACCTGCAAATTAATTTTTCCTTTCTTCATTTAAAACTTATTAAAAAAATAGCATGCACTATGCAATGATACATATAATAATACTCCTTTCATTTTAAATTATAAGATATTTTTGAAGGATATTCGACGTTTTTAAATATGAGATACTTTGATTAAAATAAAATTTTATTAATGATATTTTTTTAATAATATCCTCCCCATTATATTATGTCCCCCTTATACTCTTTCATAAATGGAGTATTAAACTAAGAATATTTTTAAATATTTATATTTTTTTTAAAAAAATAAAGTTATAAAGTGTATTTAGTAAATTTTATTGGTATATGTAATTTTATTTAAAAATTTTTTATAATGTAGGACGGATGGTGTATATATTCCTTCATAAAAAAAGTATTAAATTATTATTTATTTTAAATATTGATGGGGAAAAAAACAACCAAAAATTGGTAAAGGCTAGTAATTACACTTAAAAACAAGGGATCTTGCTTGGATTTCGATTTTGTGAGAGGTAAAAGTACACTCACTTAATAAATATTTCCATTATATATAACTTTTAGACTTTACATATGTTTGAAAACTATTAAGACTCATTTCCTTCTAAAATTTCAAATCAATCCTCAGGATTAAAGAATTTATTATATATTATCCCGTCAAAATATTTGAGATTTAGCATAGCGGAGTATTATGTGAAAAATGTTTTACATTGATTTAATTAAATTATTTTGTTATGATCTCCACTCAGCAAATCTAAATAAAGTAATGGGCACTGCCATAAGTTCTTGGATGCATTCAATTGCAATGAATATCCCATCATGTTGACTCTACCCAAGGTAGAACCAGACTTTAGATTTAAGGAAGGCCAAGTTTTTTAATTTAATCAATATTATTAAATTAAGCAATTTAAAAGTAATTAATTAATTACTAATAAAGAAAATTTTTAATGTTTAAACTTACATTCACAGTTTTATAAGAGGCAAAATGTATTTACATAGATGCATATATATTAAAAAAAAATATAACTTTGAATTCTTATATTTTACTTGAGTTTGCTATAGGTTATTATACTTTTTTTTTTATGTTATAAGTCCTCATAAAACTATTCATGAAAAGATCTTGAACATCAAAAAATAAAAGTGTAGAAATTTAGAATGTTGAAAAAAATACAAAAACCTATAATAAAACTTAAAGAAAGTGTGAGGATCTAAAGTGATATTTTTCCTATATAATATATGCAAGCATGAATCAAATAAAAAGCAGGTGTTGATATTTTTCTTTTTATATGGTTCATGGTTGGTATTTTAAATGTGTGTGTGTGTGTGTGTGTGTGTGTGTGTGTGTGTGTGTGTTAAAGGAGAAGAGTTGGCCCCCTTCATCATTAACATGGTTCTGCCCTTGAGTCTACCCAACCTAACGCAGCAACTTGCGACGTTTTTGATATGATGCATCAGCCCTTGAATAATGAAGATGTTGCCCCCAAAAACAATAAACTGTGTAGCTTTGAGTAGAAAGCTCGTTGTTAAAGTGTCTAATAGCAAAAATAAAAGAATACAAGTCCACTCAAATGACAGATGCATCTAAAGCAAGGGTAAAAGCTTGAATTGCTAAAGTTGAGAGGCAAAGAGCAATAAATGTTGAAAGATATTGGATCCTTGTAGTAGTGATTTTCTTTCAACATATAGAGGGAAAAGATAACATAAACAATAATATCAAGGTAAAAGCTATCACACTATAAGTTAAAAAGGGTTTTTTAATTTTAAACACTCTTCATTAACAATGACGATTGAGCATTCTTTTGAAGTATTTAAAGCTATATTTTTCATTTTCAAGTTGATGTCACCATGCAAACTTTCTAGACAATGTCTTATTGAAGCGGCACGCTGTACTATTTACAATTTTCATATGTAAATGAGGTTATCGTGATATGTCATTTAATTAGTGGGAGAATATGGATTTTAAACTAATGGAAAATTTATCAATGAAAGGAATGAATGAAAACACAAGTGGAGAAGGTGTAAGCTATAGTCTAAAATACTTGTCAAAATTATTCAAAAAAAGTGAAGTGGATATAACAACATAGCATGATCATGTTGCATCTTAGATGTGGCATGAATTTAGCACTTGTCCTAACTAAGTTTAGTCTTATGTTTTTGAAATCAATATTTTAGAGACCTTGCTTCAAATAATGTTAGTTTGGGATTTACCTTCTGTGCCCATCACCCCGATGAGCAATACCATCGCTATGATGAGTATATTGCTCATGAGGGTGATGCAATATGAACCATTTAGATTTAAAAAATTAATTTTATATTTTTAAAATAAAAACTTACAAAACTTATTGCTCATCAGGGTGATGAAATATGAACCATTCAAATTTTAAGAATTAATTTTATATTTTTCAAATAAAAACTTACAAAAATTATAAAAAAGTTTGCATAAATATTTTCATGACTAATATGAGTTATATTTAATTTAAAAGATCTAATTTAATATTAAAATTTTTATATTTTTATATATTGATTATCCAAATATATTATATACAGTCTAGATTTAAAAAAAATTTTAAAAAGTATTTTTCAAAAAGTTAAAGTTAAAAGATTATATATATTTTATTTTAACATTTTATTCACCAAAAAAATTATAAAAAATTTAATATTAAATCTGGATTGTACAAAGTATATTTGGATAGTTAATGCATAAAAATTTTAAAAGTAAATCAGACTAGTCAAATTAAATTTACGTTATCATAATTGATGATAAACTATTTATTAAATAAATTAATAAATTTTTATTTTAATAAATATAAAATATAAATACAATTATAATTTTGGAAATCTAGACAGTTCAGGTTTCATGGTGACGAGCACCTAAGCTGCAAAGTCTCATCTCAATCAGGGCTTTTCCATTCTACATCACAAAATTAATAAATTAAAATCAGAGTAACAGCCTTTTATTTATTTTTAAATTGTAGGATCCCGACTTCTTAAAATATATATTCAAATAAAAGGGTTAATAGAAGTGTAAATATAATCAAATGACTTAAAATAAACAACATTCTCAACCCTAAAAAGGGGCTATGTGCTGCGGTATGTAGCACAGAGTCACACGCCTAATTTCTTTGTGTCATGCATTGTGGTGTGCCTGTCCAAAAAATTTGTTGTCATTTTCTTAACAAAAATGATGAACTTTTAGTGTGCGTCGTTTTCACACCTGACGTTCGATTGGAATGATTCAAGCACCCACACAAAGCTTATCACATACACTAGCTTATGGAACAAGTTTGGACTTAATCTGTTAGTCTAATCTAAAATTAGACACTTGAGTGTAAAAAGTCAATTTTCTTTTAAAAACTTACATCCTAAGTGCTTAATTCACATTCTTTATTCCATTAGATCACTTTAGGCCTTGAACCAGGTCTAAAAGGACCACCTCCACCTGATTAACATCACACATATAAAATATCACATCAAGAGCCCAACTTGGCCTCTCAATGCTGCATTACACAATTGTGATCTTATATGAGGAATATACATATACAACACATATAAATATATACAACTAAGCTTGTTCCATTTTCAATCCACTAATTCTTATATATGGGACTTTGCCTTGCCATATAATTAGAAATCACAAATGTACTTGACTTTTTCACTCCACCTCACCATTTGTGTCAAATTATCACCGTTTGTGTCAAGTTTTCACATAACAACCTAAGTCACATTCATTTCACAATCAACACATAATCACATAGTGGAACAAGTTACAACCCACATATACTTACTTGATTCGCATTTAAGTCTCCCTATGTACCCTCCACTGAGGCCGCTTGGCATAATGTAACATCATATATAAATATACAAGCAAGATTCACAATACAATTCATTTTCTCAAATTCACATACATATATGCATCCTAGTTGGCAACTTAACTCTATAAACAATTTTATACATTCATTTATACTTAAAGGTAGTCATATCACTACTAAATGAAGCTACTCTTTTCTCGCTTCTTTTCCCGGCCCTCTCGTGCTCTCTTCACCTGTGTTTAAAAGTAACGAAGTAAGACATACATCCCTATAACTCAGAGGTAATCCCAATTACCGGTCAGTAAGTAAAATTATAAACAAATGATAAAGTAGCATGCGTATCAATAAAATAATAACATATGTATATACAATAATTCATTATCATCAATCTCATTATACTCATGTAATGCATTCTTAGTTCCCCTTGGCAGAGTCATCTTTACATTAGGACCAAGACCTTCAGTCACAAGGAACAAGGCCCATCATATCATTGCTCAAACCAGGTAATTTTTTTATGTATGGGTGGTCTCCTAAGTCCGTCATAGTAGAGTCAAGCTCTATACTTTGGATCATTAAGACTTCCTGACCTTATACAGAGTAGGACCACAACCCCTTATCCTAGTTTAGGGTAACCTCATGAATCATTCAATATCCCAGGTTCTTCATAACAAAGTCAAGCTCTATGCTTTAGATTATCAAAACTTCCTAAACCTCCTCGTGGTAGGGCTGCGTCTCCCTACCATAATCCAAGGTATATTTTGCGGATGCGATGCATGTTAGTGCACGTGCCATTTGAAATTTATTTCAATCAATACCTACATACCTGCACGCATATACTTTCACAATGCTGCTATTATATTAGTTTACAATACAATGCACGTAGTTATATTAAAATGCTTACGAATAATTTCACAAACAAACAAGTAAAAGGGTTACCAACTACACTAAGCTCCCAGATGCGCATATTCTCACGAGCTACTTTACATTTGTTCAATCTATGTAATATAGTGTCCTTCAATTAATTTCCAACATATTTTATAAGCATTGATTCGATTAAACTAAATCCCTTAACACATAAAATAGTTCAATTGAACCTTTTTGAATTCACTTATCTATTATTCATAATCATTAGTCCTATAGACTGCTCAATTAATCATAACAATTTTCTAACACAAAATCAATTTCTTCCTTTAACTTAACTTTCTTAAGCCAAATGAGCTTAAATTTTCAATGCTCAACCATTCAACTTTATAGTAGTCATAAAATTTTAGTTCTATATTTGATATTTCATTTTAACCCTTTCTTTAGATTATAACACCTCAAAATCTCATGATTTGATTTCTCAACAAATGAAATTCAATAAAAAAGGGGTAGAATTGAAGTTCAGGATTGCACGATACTTACCCAGCAAGTTACTAATCGAAGCAGACTCCTGAGCTCCAACTATGGCTTGCCCCAATAGAGTTGGACGTCTCCATCCCTCCATATGAGTTTTCAGCAATTTTCCTTCTGATTTCACGAGCTGATGACGTAAGCTTTAAGTGATCCTTGGATGGTGCACTATGGCGCATAGCACAGTGCGTTCAATCTCACCTGTGCTCTCACGTTATGCCTTTGATTATCTTTTTACCCTTTAATCCTATCAATACAACACTTAAACAACACAAAATATCAACTTAACACCCAAAACTACAATTAATCTACTAATTACTAATCTACTCTTGATTAGCAACTAGTTTCTAAAATTAAAATCTAGGATGTTACACAAGCTGTTAGTTTGAGAGTTGATTTTGTTATTGAGACTTTCATGCATTTCCATTGGCGAAGGTAGGTATAATTGAAGGGGGGAGGGCAAATGCACCCCCTTAAATTTTGAAATCTATGTATATGTGGGTATTAATCCTCATCTCATGCCCTCAGTTCTCCCTTAATTTGCACCCTCCTTAAATAGTTTCAATATTAAATAATAGATAACCATTATTTAAATTATTAATATTGACATGTTTTTTCTTTTCATCCACCAACATTTGAACATTATTATTTTAGATCTAAATACTGACTTGTTCTACTTTTATACAATATGTTATTTAAAATATGGGAGAAAATTGTTATTGTGTAAGTAATAATATTCATCTAAAATTTATGCATGAAATCTTTTATTTTTCTGACACGATACATTATATCTTTATTCATAATAAATTGTGATTAATATAAGATATTTATCATATAAGACCTTCTAAATTATAAATCATATATGTGTGTGTACAATTTTTATGTAATTATTTATTTAAAAATATATTACATCCCTTGAGTCCTGATTTTATCACTGTGCATTTCAATGTTACTTATGTTATTATTTTTTTAATTCTATTCAAATTTTATTATTAAATTAATTCATAGTTATAATATAATATTAAATAAATATAAAAATCATGTTAATATTAATTTTTCAAAACAAGTTATAAAAAAGATTATTGTTTTTTATTTGTCAAAAAATATTTTGAGAATAATTTATCAAACAAGTTTTTTATATTTTTTATATTTAAATTTAATTTTTTAGAGCAATTATTTAAATAATTTTTTTATTTTTCAAAATATGTTCTATAAAATACTACTTGTTATGACAATAAAATAAAAAAAAATATTTTTTAAGATATAAACTCTGGTGCTGTTTGATGCACAGTAAAAATAGCAACTTTGAAGTGTTATCATTTGATTGGTGGCTGTTGTTTTTTGTTAAATGTCTTTTATACTTTTTTAAATTTTATAGGAGTAAATGTTTTAAATTAAAAAATCTAAAAATGAGTGATAGTTATAAAATTTATTTTAACCAGAAGGGCTGTACTTTTTAATTTTCATGTTGCATTGGTTATTGTGCAAATATTTTATTGTCATTTTTTTTAATTTCATTTACTTCTTTTATTAAAAAATATAAGGTATTTTTAGCTGAATCTCACCATCCAATAAAGAAGTTATTTATTTTTAAATTAACCTTATATTTTTATATTTACTTTTATTAAATATTCTACAATAAATATAAAGTTATTCATTAATAAAGATATTTTTTTTAAAAAAATAATGATTATACCTTAAAAGATTAAAAAATATCTTACATTTTTAAATATTTAATTTTTTAAAAAATAACTTATATTTTTAAACGAATGAAATACTTTTTAACAGATTTTAAAAAGAAAAATACGTTCACTTCTCTTTTTAATGTACAATCTCTCTCTAACTGGCATCAAGCCTCGTGCATTTCATGAATGTGAAACAAAAACAATTGAGAGAAGCTATTGTGAACCAAAAATTGAGAATCATGTAATTAGTCATAAATCTCATGCAATAACTAAAATCTTATTTATTATGATATTGTTTAAGAGTCTATTTTAATAATTCTCAAAAGCACATCCAAATCACATTCAGAATGTATTTGTGCTAAATCCAACAAATAGAATTGAAAATCAAAATACATTAAAATTTTTTTAAATTAAAATATTTGGTCATTATTGTTCTTTATTTATTTAATCTTACGTGTATGTGTTTTCATCTTTGTATAAAAACAATTGAGGAAGCTACGGTGAAAAGAAAAAATGGGAACATGAAGTTAGCCATGCATGTGACACAATAATTTTGATCCTATGCATAATGATGTTATTTGAAGTTGTTTTCAAATATGTGGCCATTACTGATCTTTATTAATGATATTTACTGTTGTTTTTAATTATGTATATACTCTATTCATTTAAAAATATAAGGCATTTTTAATCAAATTTTATTTTCAATAAAGTAATTGTCTACTTTTAAACTAACATTATCTTTTTATATTTACTCTCATTAAACACCTTACAATAAATATAAAGACATTTATCAATGGGGGCACTTTAAAAAAAAAAGTAATGATTACACTTCAAAAGACTAAAAATACCTTATATTCTTTAATATTTAACTCTTTAAAAAATGTTTTATATTTTTAAACGAATGGATTATGTTTTTAAATTTTTGAATCATTTAACCTACAATATATTTAGAGAAATAATTAGTCAAGCCAGATTAGTCTAGGCGAAGCCTAAGATACCAATGTGCAAGCCAAAAAAAAAAAGAGAAATAATTAATTGTTTAAATATGATTAATTTTTTATTTGTTTTTATTTTAAATGAGCTATAAGTTTTAATAAAGAGAAGTGAATAGAAATATGTTTTTTTTACAATCAATAATTAATTATAATTTATACTGCATTGATTTGTATTTATTCTTTTTTTTATCATTTTAAATTTACTTACTATTTAGATTCATGTTTATATAGTTGTTTTATGAGAATTATTACACGTATGTCTTCCGTCAAATTTCCTATATAATAATAACTTTAGAAAGCAAAGGTCTTCAAATGAAATAATTGAGTGGATTGGATGAAACATTTAAAAATATAATTCACAAGATTAATGAACTAAATTTAAGTTATTATTATTTCAATTAAAACATCTTTGTCTCTGGCCAAAAACAAAAAAGTAAAACATCCTTGTCATGATAACTAATATTAAAATTATTTTCAATTAACTACAAAAATTAGCACAAATGTTTGCCAAAAAAACAAAAAACTCAGCACCAACCCGTGCGTCGGACGGGGACATAATCCAATTCTTAAACAGGCCATTCTATGTGACAGTGATTCAGTTCCCTTGCTTCATCGAGCACATAACATTTTGTTTTTTTCAAAAAGAAAGTGCCCACCGCTCACCGCGTCTCTTCCTTCCGCGGGCTCTCTCCCTATCCCTTCAGCGGCCATGGCGTCAGACATACAATGTTCTTCAATAAAAAATAAGGAAATAATCTCCACTATGTTGTTGTTAATGCCACAGGAAGGATGTCTCATGTTTGACGTTTTGCCACGACCACAAGAAACTCTCAGACATTAAGAAAATGTGCGAAAGCTACCTCCATGCTTTCGCCTCAGGGAAAGAATCGGACTACGCGTACAGATCTCTTGTCGGGATTTTTCACAAGGATCTGGAATGCTTTGTTAAGGATGACCAATAGATTCTGTTGAGAATGAGAGATGATGGATTGCCTGTAAAATGAAGAAGATTGGGGAGAGACGAAGGACGCCATAGCGACCGCCGGGGATGAAGGAAAGGACAAAGTAAATTAAATCACTGCCACATAGGATTATAACAATCTGAGTTGTTACATTTTAATTGGGTGGAGTAAATATGACGTGGTAGACTGAGCGTACCTAACCTAAGAATCTCTCTATTAGGATTTAGGACAAGGTCTTGTGTCTCTTGAGGTAGCGAGTGGCTAGAGGTCACAGGTGAGGGAAGGGCAGGGATTCGAAGCAGTGGTTGGAATATCCGAATTTCCACGCGCACAATGTCATGAACTACCTGAGGACAAGTAACCAGGAAAAAATTTAAAGAAGGAAACATTTTGATAAACAATTACATCATCAAGTGGAGGGAGTGAAGTGAATAGTGACTTGGGATTTTTGGAGAAGATATCGGGGGTAACACAAATGGCGATGGTTTCCATGTCATTTTCTGTCAACACAGTGGCCTTTCCCAACCTTCCCCGCCCCAACAGGTGACAAAATCCTAGCCCATCTATTTGAAATCGTAGTGGCCTTTCTCATTTGTATTAAATGCCTCTTTTTCTTCTAATTTCGGGTTTGACCCGATCTGCATGCGGAGCAGGTATCCTGGAATGGCATTTGCAAGTTTGAGCGGCAAAGAATCGATGTCTTTGGGGGTGCGAGTTATAGAAGGGGAAGGAAACTTGCCAAAAGTTGTGCTAACTTCATCTGGGGGAAGGTTCGTACTTTCTGGTTCTAACTTTGAACCTCTCTCTGTTTGTCTTCCTTTGCTTACATTTGGATGCTTTTATTACTACTAAATTTATTTTTAAGGAACTCTCTGCTTTTACGACAACTATAAATTCCTTCTTCAAAACTCAATCTCTTTATACTGGAAGTGTCTCTGGTTTCGTTTGTAATGTAAGCTTGTTCCTATGATATTTGATAATTTCTTGAAATGTCTCACTTGTCATGCTTCTTTTCCCAACTAATAAAATTGAAGACAGAAGCAGCTGAATGGAGGTTGACGGGAAAATTTTGGCAGTTTACAGCGCCAGTTAGCAGAGAAGCATTGAAAATTTCTATTCTTGGATAGAGAGAACTGATTTTCTCTTATCAATATGTTATGGTCTTAGCTTCAGAATCAGTTTGCATTTACATGGGATTACGTATTATACCAGCAATCCCTTTTGACAGCTGGATCTCATTGATATTTTTGACGCACTCTAGTACCTATGCCTCATATTGAAATGATACGAGATTGATATATATATTTCAGATGGTTTATTCTGTCACTTGCAGTGAGGCTGAAATATACTTATTTGGAGGTTGTATTACCTCTTGGAAAATTGCAAATGGCAAGGACCTCCTCTTTGTTCGTCCAGATGCTGTTTTTAATAAGAAAAAAGCAATAAGGTTGTTAACTTTTGAGGATGTTTCCATACAACTCTGACTCTTCTTAACGTTCCTACATCATTCATGTCTATACACTTACTTTCTCAAATGTTGAATTGTGCCGTTAATCATGCAAATATGATATCATTGGATTCCCCATATGTTGATTACTTTGCCATTGGTATAGTGGAGGCATCCCCCATTGTTTCCCACAGTTTGGCCCGGGTGCACTTCAGCAGGTATAGCCCTCTAACGTCTCTCTCCCCGCCTCTCCCTTTCTTATATGCGATTATTCCTGTCAATTCTTCTTTTTTATATTTGCTAGTAATGTAAGTGGTCAAGGTTTGATCTAGACAAGCTAGTTCATGAAGCATATTGGTTCTGATTAAATTGCGGTCTCATAGTTGACTAAACTTACTTCAAGCAGTCTCGGTTAAATAAACCGTTTGTTTTTAGTTAGGTTCAATATCATTACGATCCTTCTTTTTCTCTAGTTTTTATATTAATGTTCTGAAAGCACAGATAATTCTCTTCAATAAAATCACGACTGGTGCAATAACTTGATCACCTTGCTCTTCCTTTCCATATTATACCAATTCCTTCTTCTGAAACATTTGCTTGCTTGCATAATTGACAGCATGGATTTGCAAGGAATATGGATTGGTCTTTAGTCGATTCTGATAACGTGGATGGAAATCCTGTGGTAACTTTGGAACTCAAGGATGAATCTTATAGCCGTGCCATGTGGGATTTCAGCTTCCATGCTTTATACGAAGTCAGTTTCTTTGTGTCTTTGAGCACAGATTCACGTTTGCAATGCTACTAATTCTTGTCATGCGCTACCTACATGATGAACAATCCCGTACTTCTTTATGGCAGGTCACCCTCAACACTAAAAGTCTTTCCACTGAGTTGAAAGTGAAAAATACTGACAATAAGGCATTCTCCTTTACCAATGCCTTGCACACTTATTTCCGTGTAAGTGATACTGGTCCATGAATCTGAACATTGGTTATGTTATAATTTGTGCCTGAATACAAAATTTAGCAGCATCATTTTTAAAAGCATTAATTTGGGAACCTATACTGTTCAATTCGTTAGCATACATTTTTCTTTTATGAATTGTTTGAACTTATTAGGCTTGTGCTATTTTTAAATTCAATGATATTGCTAAATATCAATTGCTGCTAAAATATGCAAATAGCTAATTGTTTCAGCATTCTCACACAGGCTTCGTTGAGTGGTGCGACACTGAAGGGGTTGAAAGGTTGCAAAACTCTTAACAAACATCCAGATCCTTTGAATCCAGTAGAGGGTGTGGAAGAAAGGTCTGTTATATAATTTATGTCTGGGAGCTCTTAAATGGGAATTAAAAGTGGTAGATATTGAAGTTTGCTTTTCCTCAATTTATTGGTTTGACAAAATCTCCACTAGCGATTGGATTAGATTAATTTTGATAAAAAGAATTAAAAGTGAATGTAGGGTTGCTTAATTTCTTTCATGGGAACTGTGTGTGTGTGTGTGTTGAAAATAAAGAAAAAATGCATGTAGTTTCAACAAAATTCAGGAGAAGCCTGTTTAATTTCCCCCTCCCTCTCTTTGCTTGAATGCAAACTAGAACTATGAACTACTCTATCTTCTGTAGTTTTAGGATTTATGTTCATTTTCTCATCATTCAATTTACCTACGGCACAATAATGTCTTGCTTCAATAGAAATTACGTGGTTTAAACCTATAGATTTCTTCAAATAAGATAAAACAAATTCATGGCATTGAATATTTAAAGTTAGCTTAACTAACAGTAATCTACACAATGCAGGGATTTGGTTAATTTCCCTGGATTTGTAGACTGCATTTACCTTGCATCTCCGAATGAGCTGCGCCTCGACAATGGCTTGGGTGATTTGATATCTATCAAGAATACAAAGTACGCAACTTCAAACTTGTGAATGAATTGGTTTGAGTTGCCATGATTCTTTTATTCATGCACATTTATGCACTCCTTTGTGATTTTGCCCCAATGCAGTTGGTCCGATGCTGTCTTGTGGAACCCATATATCGAAATGGAAGCTTGTTACAAAGATTTTGTTTGCGTTGAAAATGCTAAGGTAATAAAATACGTTTGACTTTCTAGAAAGAGAAAACAGGAAAACTATCAGACTGGTTTTTGAATTTTTACCTGAACGCTCTGCAGTGATGTTTTGCAGTAAGCTGGGTAGATATATCTCTGGACTTCTCTGTTGATTCTTACTGACTATAATCCCTATTTTCCATGATCGCTTCAGATTGGAAATGTGGAACTTGAGCCGGATCAAACTTGGACAGCAGTGCAGCATATGAGCATTGCTTAGGAGAGTAACTGAGCTTGTACATGATCCTTTTGTTTTCTTATGTAGTTTGTCAATAATGTGAATTATGGATTTTTCTTCTGGCGCCATGGGTGGTGGATTTGAAGGGTGATTGAGTTATGCGGATATTTTATAAATAAGAATAAGAATAATGCCTCCAGGTTTATTTTGATGTAATAGCAAGTCTATACCCTGTTCCGATCTTCAGCTCTGTAAAAGCTATCCAAGTTGGTCTAGTTCGGTTGATTCGCCCCCCCTCCAAAAAAAAAAGAAGAAGAAGCTTCTCTTCCCTTTCCAAAGTTTGCGTAGTGTCTATGGGCAGGTATATTTGTATAATCTAAGAGTATCTTACTTCATTTCTCCACACTGGCCAAGACTTGTGCAAGTGCGTTGTTTTTAAGAGAGAGATTAACAGCGTTGATGGATCTTTTCATACATTATTTATTCTAAAACTAACTATTACTATTAATATTATTAACTTACTTTTAAATTAAAAATGAAAATTCATATTTCTGATTTGATTTAAATTGACAAAAACATACTCTATTACGTATACAAGATTAAATAAAGTTTACCCGTGTTCATACGGACTTCTCAATGAAAATATGTTGGGTCATCTAATTAGATTCTATTATTAAAACAAGACAAATATATTTCTTGTTTTAAATATTTATGTTTTCTTTAAAAGACGATGGGCCATCTAATTAGATTTTTATTAATTTTTTTAATAAAAGTCTTTAAAGGAGATGTTAATGGATGAAATTAGCTAATGTATGGATGAATGTTAGATTAGACCAGCTATAAAAAACCAATCATCTTTCGAATATTTGAACAACTGGGCCTATTACTTACCAGATATCTTTTAGAATATCTTTGAATCCGATAGAATCTCCAGAGAACCCAAAGTGATAATAAATAAACTACTCTGATCAAAAAAACAGAAAGCAAATAAACTTTGAACTTTTGACTGAGAATAACAAACTAGAAATACTCTGCCCATTCAGGCAATCAATTCCATTAAGCAAACTTGGTTCTCATAAACAAATAAGTATCTCAATTAGCAGATCTCTGTATAAAATGAAGCAAGAACCAAAAAACCATAAAAAAACAAGTAGCTTTTTACAATTCTAAAACATACCGGGATCTTGATCCAATGGTCAAGAAGCTAGTAGTGCAATTAAGCACACCAAAAGTATAATCAGTCCCACGGCACAAACCCACCATGCCCATTTTTGGTTCTTCTTCATCTGGTTAGCATAGTAAAGATTATTAGTTCCACCATGAACGAAGCTCCTAGCATTGGCTACATTATCTTCAATGTTGTCCACTTTCTCGCCTTGTGTCTCCACGATAATAGCCATGTCAAGAAAAACCTGATGAAGTTTATCCAAACTTCTCTGTATATCCATCACAGCCTGGTGCCTAACCTGAGTCTCAGCCGTCATATCAGCCTCTGTTTTAAAAAACTCCACTTTGACACTCCCAGAAACCATCTTCTGCACCATTTCATCACTCGGTATCTCTCCTGTTGCAGTGTAGTATCTTCTCTTCAAATCCTCCTTGTGATCAGATAGAATCTTGTTTCTCAGGGATTGAAATTCATTCATTAAGTCTCTCAGCTTCACTCTTAGGCCATTTGTAATTGATATTCTTGTTCTATCGACCAGGGTTCCTTCTTTATAGGATTCTGATATTTTGCGATTTTTTATGTTGGATTGGTCAAGCGATTCTAGCCTTGACTTGACGATATTCGCTTTGCGAAGAATGGTGACCATGTCTGATTCCATTCGGTCTCTGAGCCCACGAAGAACTTTGGTGCTGTGGGTTGATTTTGTATCTTCATTCAGGTGTTGAAGATCGAATAAGAGATTGGTGATCTCTTCCATTTCGGACTTGATGGCATCAACTTCTTCGAAGAACTGAGAGAGGTTTTGGTCTTCAATGGGATTAAATTGCCCTGCTTCGATGTCAAGATCGGCTTCAAGGTCCTTTCGTGCTAGTTTCTTCAGTTCAACATAACTTAGAAATGATTTCGTCATCAGATCGTTCATTATTGCAAAGTTGTGCAAAACCGCGTCTGAAAAGAAACAAAAAAACCCGAACGAATTTAATGAGAAATGAAAGGAAAAAATAGAAAGAACAACCAATACAAATCAGAACCGCTGAAAGATAACGTAAGAAAATCGAAATCTTTCAGGGTTCTGGCGCGAAGGGAATGAAGAACAAACCCTTTACAGATTCAAGAAATGAATCAATCCCTCAACGGCCGCAAGTTTTTTGGCGTTTGAGCAATGCTCCGACTGATCTAAATCAAGGAGAAAATGAACATAAAAATTAGATGCAAGTTACTTACAAGAAAGACACAATAACTTGTCAACTGGAAAACCAAAAATAAAAGTAAACTCCAAGAAAAATGGTTCTTAAACAAATTACCTACTGAAGTTCGTTCCCATAAGAAATTTTTTACATGAGTTTAGGAAAATTAGAAAATTTAAGAAAATAACAAAGAACTGAGAAACAAAGAAAAGGGAATATCCTCGGCTAACCTCAATGAAGCCAATGGGGAATACGTCTGGAAGTGAGGGTGATGGAATCACTGGAAAGGGGTTGGCTTATGAATAATAGGAATGAAGAGGATAATCTTGATCAGTTTTGAAAGGGATCGTCGGTTACGCTAACATTTTGTACATTTCAAATTAAAATTCAAAATTTTCGTTGAGCAAAATAGCCGTTAAATGGGAGCAAGGACGGTGTTCTCAGCATGAAACCGCGAAGCAGGGGTTGTCGACTTCGTTTGCAATTTTGCATTTGCAATCGCGTCCCCAAACTCGCTCCAAAACGGTCAGCGTTTTACTTTCTTTGTTTTCTTAATTTTTAACCCTTTTTTCTCTTCCACTGTTTTCGGCTTGAGTTTCTCACCTGTCATGCCCCATAAGAGTACATGATATTGTTTGAGTCTAAAATCAATTGATAAAAGCTCAAAATAACAAAAGAGAAATCAATAAGAAACGTCAGGTTCAATAATTCATCAATTAAGACAAGGTTCCATTGGCTTTCAAGTGGGGTTCTATATTGAGTATGTTTTAAGGTGGTAAAAGATGTAATTTTTAAGACTCAAAGCAATTGAGCATGAAAGACTGTTAAAGGAAGTAGGATCGTTATCTATCATGCCCCTGAATTTTGCTAGATTGTGTCTAGTGACAGTGGATATTTCTTGTATGAGCTTCTAATACTTTAGACACAGCAATCTTGAGCACACAAGTACAAGGAATCCAACTGATAAAATCAAGACACAATTCACACGCATAGTAAATTCATTGCTTAGTTTCCAGTTTAAATTTATTTTGTGTTCTGCACTTAAGCTTAGACTTAGCTCTTTCAATTTTGTGATTGTAATTATTGCAAATTTGTACTTTAATTTTGCTAAATAAATCATCTTTATATTATTATTTTTGCATTTTTGCATTCAAGCAAATTGAGGTCAGACAACTTGAGAACCTTCTGATCACATTTAAGACTCCACATCTTTAACAAGTTTAGTATTTTGTTCAAAATCAAGAACAAATATTTAAAAGAAAACAAAATGAGAGTGAAATGAAATTGTGACACTAATATATTTTCCAAAACGCTTTCTTCAATGGTTGGCAAAATAAAACGTCTTCATCAATACATATATTCCGAGACGGAAAGAGAAATTAAATTCATGTAATTTTATTTTTTAACTTTTGGTACCCTGAGTACAGCCCGCAAAATAAAATAAATATGACACTTTTCTTTTTACAAGATTAAATTAAAAAATTATATAAAATTAATTATATTTTTCATCATTATTTCATACCAGTAATAATTTTTTTTAGAGAAAATATAATTTTAAACCCCTGTATTTTGCTATTAATTTTTATAATTTTTTTAATATTATTGATCTCTGTACTTTTATTTTTTTATTATTTTAAATCTCCCTATGAATAAAGTAAAATGCGAACAAAATATAAAATTATAAAATTATGTTTTCACTGTTTTTTCAATATAAACCTTTTAATTAAAACACCCGCCATTTGTGTTAAAATATAGTAGTTTAAAACTAAAACATTTTAGATCCAAAAAATTAAAATAACTGTAAAAGATAATACAGATTGCCATGCCAAAAATAATTAAACTATCATTACTCATTTTTTTTACTTTTAGAAAATTATTAATTATTAATTTTTCTTAAATATGTAAGTATTATGACATGTTGCAATCCAAGCTCGCATAAACACGCAAACACTCCAAGCACAATGTAAAGTCTGAAAGACACCACCATGCATTTCCACGGACACGTAATGCCAAATCCAGAAGTGCACGAACTTAATACGAGAAATATTTAAATTAATCATAATCATTACAAAATTGTACAAACATGAAATGTGTTACGCTCCCATTGACATGCACCCACATATCAGTTATTACTTCCATGGACACTTGAACTCGTTTTTCATGTAAAACAAAAGGGTGAAACTAATCTCCGGTTTTTTGGCCACAGTGGACCTACTCTCCGTTTGAGCAAGGTTGATTGGCCTTTTCAGCCTCGAGCCTCCGCAACGTGGATGAACTCAGCTTTGTTTCACTTGAGTCTCCAGAAAGCATATCTACAACTTCAACCTGCATAATATACACAACAAGGCTCAATATGCCACAAAAACACTTCGATCAGCAGAAATATATCTTCCCTTTGTTTCAATATCAGAAATTTAAATTGGCTCAGACCTTCAACTGTGAAAAGCCTCTTTCAGCCCTTTTCCTGTTCACAGCCAATCCACCTGGTAATGTCTCTTTGCTGCAAGAGTATTAGGTCCATTTAGTCAACGGAGACTTCTGTTACTGACATTTCAAAGACAAGCAACATATCTCAGTTGCCATATGTAAGGTTTACTCGCCATTGATTCACCAGCAATCAGAGTTAACAAGCAATTACAAAATTATAAGTACAATCAACCAAGAACTAAAACTTTTTTGGGCGGGGCTGAGGACCTAGCCAAGTTTACTACAAAAGAGGAATGCGTATATTATAAGCAGCAAGTTGAAAATAAGCTGACAGCAATTCATCTCTGAATAACAGGTGCCTTTTGTATAAGCCATCCTATAGATACAGCATTAAAGGCACTCTAAGAACTAATAGCAATACCAAAGTATAAAGACAATGTAGACCCCAGATTGACCAATTACAAAACCTGACAACTATAGCCTCCAAATTTTCATCAGTGATAGAAGGGCCATAGGGGTCTACGATTGGTTCGGCTTGCACTTCCAGTTCTCGCTTGATAGACTGAAAATTTGTCAAACATTATTAAAGTCCCACAAAAAATAAATATAATACTGAAAAGCATGTTTTTCAGTAATTAAGCATATCATGTTCTGGCAAAAGAAAGTAATTACACGTATCATGTCAAATACCTTTATGAAATTCTTAACATTGTGTATCCTTTCCTCAACGGGCTGTATTAGTTCAGAGAACTGCAAGTGTGAAGCAATGATCAGTCCAAGAAATTTCACATCTAAAAATGAAAGAAAAACGCACAGGAAAAAAATAATTAACTACCATTTGTCTAAAAACCCACAAATCAGGCGCCCCACCCCCTCCTTCCCAGTGCACGTAAGGACACCACAAAACACGACATTGTCATACACTCATTCATGTGATCCCCACATGATTTTAATTACTAAGCAACATTCGATATAACCCTGCTCTAAACAATAAATACAAAGTAATAATCTAAAGCAAGCAAGCAGTAAATGAGGGAAATTTTGAGGTTTTGCTATTAATGAACACAGATAACCAAATCAGTGTTACAAAAGGAACTCCACTGATTCTGGTCAAAATCCCTATTGATAAACAAAAAAATAGAGAAACATAAATCATCAACACATATCAGGTCCCTCACTAGTGTTCGAGAGACCAGCACTCTCCTCACAACTGTCTTCTCTCTAAAACATTGTGAGTGCTCAACAAAACATAGCAAAATATTAATGCAAGCCCAAAGGTGACTCCAGCATCTAAGCCAAGTTTACAGTCACACTACACACATTATTACTTATTCCCTATAATCAGGACCATTTGGATAATAACCTTGATCTGCTGGACCTTTCTTCTCTGCCCCTTGTTTCCCCTTTAATTTTGTCTCAGGTTTTTCCAAACTTTCCAGCCCTATCATTACCCTCCCCAAAAAGCTGCACCTTATCCTCAAGGGAAAAATCTGGAAATTGCATTGTAACTCAGGTAAATCCTTCCACTTCACAAGGACTTCTCGCTGTCCATCATAAGAGTTCTGATCTTACGGACTTCTTGAGCCTACACTAGGAGTTCAAACTCTTCAGAAAGTGCAGGTGGGATGGTAGGAGTTACGGCAGCAGATTGCACAAACTTCTTAAGTTGAGAAATGTGAAGAAACAGATGAATTCAAGCAGTGCAAGGGAGTTCCAGCTTGTATGCCACCTTTCCAATCCTCTCCATCACCTTGAAAGCTTCATAGAAACGAGGACTCAATTTTTCATTAACTCTTTGAGCTAGCGTTCTCAACCTGTATGGCTTGATTTTAACATAAATCAAATCATCCACCTCCAACGAGACGTCCCTGCAATGTTTGTCAGCTTGTTGCTTCATCTTGTTCCATGCCATTGTTAAATTATCTTTTAAAGTCACAATTATCTGATTGCACATTTGTACCTGCTCATTGACTTCCTCTATGGCAGATGGTTCATCATGAAGCTCAAGAAATGTAGGAGGGTCCCTTCCATACAGTGCTTTAAATGGTGTCAACTCCACTGCACTATGGTAAGAAGTATTGCAACTATATTCTACCCATGGTAACTGCTGAAACCATTGATTGGGTTTCTCATGCACAAAGCAACATAAATAAGTCTCAACCCATAAATTTTCACAATCAGAATCAGGCCCAAGAAGCAAAGGAACAAAGAGAAATAGATGAAGAGAGAGAGTAGATAAGCAAAGGTAACGGCAGCAGTGACTCTGTGGATCTTCTGAATTGGACTAGAAGGATGCAAGCAACAAAGAGGAAGATGCAGACGATGTAAGGTGTGAAGAGTCAAAGATGAGAGGGACAAGTGGCTGAGATCTGACACTAACGCTGAGCAACGAACTTGATGAGAGAGGCTGAGATGAGTACGTGAGATCAAGAATGACGAGGGATTGAGAGTTTTTCCCTTTGTTTCATCTTTATCTTCAGATTGTGTCTAACCCAAGGGAAGGCTTAAGGGAGGGAGAGATTTTTTTATTTTTATTTTTTTACCACCGAGTGAGGGAGAGAGTTGAGGATTGGGTGATGATGAGGTTTGGAGTTGGTGGAGGGTCCCATTTGCACATCTTGAAATGCGTGTGGTTTGACTCTTATAGTTTAGCCTTTACTTTGTGTTTCTTTTTTATTTTTATTTTCTGCAAATTTTTTTAAATAACTACATACAGGCCAGGATAGGCAGCCCAAGGGGTAGCCTGTGTTGCTTATGACTATGTACTAAGGGAAACACTTTGGAAAGCCTTGAAAAAGAAAGGAGTTCGGATTGCCTATATTAGAGTACACAAGAGATGTACAAATGGGCAACAACTAGTATAAGAACGCCTAGCGATGAAACAAGGGACTTTCCTATAAGAATTGGACTATATCAAGGATTGTCTTTGAATTCTTATTTATTTGACCTGATCCTAGATGCTTTGACTAAGCATATTCAAGAGGAAATCCCCAAATGCATGCTTTTTGCATATGATACAGTTTTTATTGCAGACATAAGAGAAGACATTAATTGCAATGAGTTATGGAGAAAGACATTGGAGTCGAAAGATTTCTGCCTAAAAAAGAGTATGATGGAATATTTACAATGTAATTTTAATAAAAAGTTTGTCAGTAGTAATTTGGAAATGAAATAGAGAGATCGGATCATGCCTCAAGTGAAAAAGTTTAAATATTTGAGATCTATTATTCAACATGGTGGGGAAATCAATGGGGATATTGCACATATAATACAAGTTGGGTGGTTTAATTGAAAAAAAGTTAAATGAGTTATTTGTAATTGAAAGGTACCTAATAACCTTAAAGAAAAGTTTTATCAAACTACTATAAGATCAGTTATATTATATAGTAGTGAATATTGAATTTTAAAGAGATAGCAGGAGTATAAAATTAGAATAGCAAAGATGAGAATGCTAAAATGAATGTGTAGGCATATACGTAAAGATAAAATCCGAATAAGCAAATACGAGAAAAAGTGAGCGTAATATCTATTGAAGAAAACATGGTAGAAAATTGCTTGAGGTGGTTTAAACATGTACAAAGAAAACCGTGAGAGGCACCAATGGGAAAAATAGAATAGATAGTTTTAAGCCTGATAAAAAGGGATAAAGAAAGGCTAAAGAAAACACTTATAGAAGTTGTTGACCAAGACCTCTTAGTTATCAACATTCCTAAAAGTTTAGTAAATAATGGAGCACAATGGTGTAGTACAATTATTGTAGCCGATCCCACCTAATATGATAAGAATTGTTGTTGTTGTTGTTGTTGTTGTTGTATACCCTTTATAATTTCTGTGAGTGAAAGATTTTTAGTTTTCTACTAAAAAAAGAAAAAAACAAGAAGCTCAAACATGACAAGGTTTTATAAATTTCAGTACTGTTTATATAGGGGTACAGGATGAAATTTTATAAGTAAGAAACAGAGGAGAGAGAACTGACCAAACAAAAGTCAAGATAGGATAATTGTCTCAGGTATAACCATTTAGAAATGCAAATTTAGGCTAGATTCGCAAAAATAAACGTCATACATCAAAAGAAATATTAAGTCCAAAATAATTGGAATGTATGAGTCAAGGGCAATTCATCCAGAAAATAACTACATATACTGCGGGACAAGGGGAGAAAATGGGATGCAAGGAAATAATAGTCTGCTCTGCATATTGCAGATTAGTTAAGGGGACCTACCCTTCGTGCTAGAGCAGACTTTTACTTCTGTGCAAATTGCCAGAAGGATGAAATCTACCTTATAATTTGAACTCATTTAAATAAACTGAACTTCAATTTAGGATTCTAAAAACTTGTTTCCCAGAACTTGACTGATAGAAATGAATTTGACATAATGAAAAGGTTAGCCTTTTCGCATGACATCAAAAAGCTCAAGCCTTAACATTGTCCAAGTTTCTTCACCAACGCCCAACGTTCGAAGTTAATTGCATGCAGATCCATATCAATATATTAATGTATGAATAAAGAACTCAAAACTAGTAGCAAGCCAAACTACATATAGAGTTATCCATCAAGTTCATCCGGGCTCCATGGCAATTAACTCAAATTTAAATTTGTCTATAACCTTGTTTTTCTTCAATTTCAATTTTTCCTGCTCTACTTTTGTTTTAAATCATCATTAATTAATATATATATATATATATAATCAAATTTATAACAAGTCAAACTACGGATAATATATTACTATTCCATGGATTCCCCGAGTGCATGAAAAAACGTATCATCACAATATGAAATACAATTAGCAAAAGTAATTGTCAATGTCTACCATATATATAGCTACTCTTCTCAATTCTCGCAGCTGTTTCAGCCTCCTTAGCAGGCAAATGACCGTAATTAGTAGAATATCCGATAACGCCCAAGACCCAAAATATCAAAGCTTTATATGTTAATTGTTATAGTTTACCACAGAAGATTACCTGCTTCTTCATCAGCATAGGACCGTCGCAAATTCCGATCACAATCCGCTGCCTCGATAACTCCGCTGCCGCCTGAATTTAAGTTTCATTTTTTCAAGAAAAGAGACATATTGATGGAGCGAGAGAAACAGTGAAAGGGGACGAAGAAGCAAAATAGAGGGTGAGACCTTGAGGAAAAGGCGGTGGCCGTCATGCAGTCGGTCAAATGTACCGCCGACAACCACGGCGTCATAGGTATTTGGGGGAGATAGAGTTAGTGCTACCATGGGATCATCTTGAACCGCCATTCAAAAACCGCGTATAGCTTCGATTCCTTTGATGCAAACGCAGCAAAAGTGTTGAATCACAGGGGCAATATGTGTTAACAAAAATGGCGTGTTAAACAACGCGCAGGCGGGATAGTCAGCTTCTCCGATGTGCACTAATCCTCCACTGCGCCTCCTTTGATTTTTAAAGCTTTTATTTTTATTTTATATTTAGTAAAAAAAATTCATAAAATTTTCAATAAATCTAATTAAAGTAAAGACATAAATTTGGCTCTTAATTATTTTTTTTAAAAATATTAAATAATTTATATTATAAGATGATTTAACATAAATTCTTAACTTTAAAAAATAGAACATTCAGCAATGTTCATTAATTTTTATTTAACGAACGTTAACTTTCCATACGTGACTTACTCTCTCATTTTAAATTATAAGACATTTTTAAAAATAATCTTTCATACCAATAAAACTTATTAAATACACTTTACAATCTTACTTTTTCAAGGCAAAAATATTAATTTTCAAAAATGCCTTTCATTTAATGCTTTATTAATAAAAGAACATTGAAAAAAGAGAATACATGGGATGGGTAATATTGAAAAAGTATTATTAATAAAATTTTATTTTTATCAAAGTATTTTACATTTTGAAACACCGAATCTTCCTTAAAAATGTCTTATAATTTGGGACGGAGAAAGTATAAATTTTTGATTAAAATAACACGTGGCATTTTACATCAACAAATAAAGGTGCAAATTTAGTTATAGATTATTTTTCGAGGAGCATTAAATAACTTCTACTATAAAAAATGGATTATCTAGCACTTTCTCATAAATTTTGATCAAATGTTGTTTATTTTTAAACTTATGAGACCTACAATGCATTAATTTTTTTAAATTTCTTGTCTTCGTTCTCAGTCTTAACTCAAGAAGAAAGAGTTCAAAAAATTCTTATTTGAAAACATTCATAACAATGATGTCAACGAAGTAGAAGAAGAAAAAGAAAATTTCATTTAAATCTTCATGGCAATTTAAGTGAAGTAGCAATTTGAATTGCAATGCTACTACGTGTGAGAGAAACTTGATTCAAGCTTAACTTAATAACGAATTATTTTTATAGAAAATGAAGCAATTGAAATAAATTTTTCCCATGTGTAGTAACATCACAATTCAACCTATTATCTTGCTTGAATTGCAACAAAAATTTAAATGAAACCTTATCTTCTTACTCCTTTTCTTTTATTTTATTGGTGTTGTTCTTGTGAATGTCTTTAGATAAGAACGTTTTAAGTATCTTCTTCTCGAGCTGAAACTGAAAACGAAGGCAAGAAGATTGGATAGATTGACGCATTATAGGTTCTCAAAAGTTTAAAAATAAATGGCATTTGGTTAAAATTTATGAAAATGTGTTATATGATTCTTTTTTTTTATATATATATAATAAAGGCTACAGAGTGCCCTTTGAAAAATAGTTCATAACTATATTTATACCTTTATTTATTGAGGTGGAATGTCATATGTCATTTCAGTCAAAAAATTGTGGGTGTCATATGGAAAGTTAACTCTGTTAAATAAAAATTAACAGAAGTCATTAAATGTTCTATTTTTTTAAAGTTGAGAATTTATTTCATATCATCTTATAGTATAGGCTACTCAGTATTTTTAAAAAAATTAATTGAGGACCAAATTTACATATTTACCCGTCTAATCATGCCAATTTTGACAGTTTAAATTTAATATTAAAACTATATCGAATGAATAGCTTTATTGTGATTTAATCATATCAAATGAATTTTTTTGTCAAAATAGTAATAGCCAAAAATAGAGACCTATGATTACAATTACAGTACCTACATACCCAGGCAACATCTCATACTCAATAAGAATTGAGTATGGATTTCGTCAACCAAATCATGGATTAATCATTTATTGCAAGGATTATATTTTTATTAAAAAGAGTTCAACAATAAAAAAGCAAAAATGTGCTGTGTTTTCAGAGAAATTGCTATAATTCCAGCATTGGTTTTTCAAGTGAATTGCGTACATAGACTCCTTGGTTTGAATTGTCCATGTTAGGTTGGAAAAGGTTCTTACTTCTTAGTACAATCATATTTGTGGATTCACAAGCTTCTTAGTACCCAGCAACAACAGATAACAAAATTGGGAAAGGTTCCTAGTATGAAACATGGTTTTGCTCCTAACAGAGGGCCTTCATCTATAAAAGTCTAGGGCTTTAACATAAGAGAGATATCAGATCCAGATCCAAACCTGTGAGAGAGGGAGATTGCCAAAGGGGAACCAAGATGGGGTGGAGAAGGGCGAACAAAGGGTGGAGAAGCGCAAACTCATATCAGAACGCGGTCTGCTAGGATTTTTCTCACTATGCTTCGCCTTCCCTCACCGTGACCAGTTTTCCTTGCGACTTCGAGCTCTCTTTCAGGGCACAAACACCAACTTCCATCGCCGACTGTGAGATGCTTACCTTTTAGTTATATAATATATAATTATGAGGGATAATTATGTGTTTTCCTTTTTTCCCTGTGATCGGATAACGACCTCTTGGATCCTGTTCTCATTTTAAGTTTTGTTGGGACTTCATTAATAAAATGATCTTCCTGAGACTTACTTGTCATCCTCCCTAATTTTATATTCCGGCTCGATTGTTGGGATCGGCCTGGCGAGTAAGTGCTCGAACCTTTATAAAAATTAGCTTCAATGAGTAACGGTCCGACTTTTATTTTTGACTCACAACCGCCCGTTCTATTGTCCCCCTACTGCAGAGACTACGACATCAACCTGCTTGATTGCCTTTACATTAAGAATTTTCCGATGAATACTGTGGCTCCAATGATCATGATCTTGCCTCTCTCGGCCTTTGAAGACGATGATGAGTTTCACAAGGCGGGTTATGTAAGGGAGTGATCAAACTATGGATAATTTTATTGGAATCAAGAGCTCAATGCGTGGAAATTCAAAATTTTATTGAATTATGCCAGTTCTGATTTTTTTTTTAAATTATGAGTAACTTGTTCCATGACTTTAATTTGAGATGTATATCCGGACCTAGAGATAGAAACATCCACGTTCATTGCAAGTTTAATTTAGCATTGAATAGTTATAATTTAGTCTTTTATATATTTTATTTGTTTTTTTTTCCTAAAAAATTAACGATTGACGATGGAAGAAATGTAACTTAAATTCTAAAATTCGAAAATACGAAAAAAGAAGAAAGAAAATCGATAGAAAATGGTCGTTAAAAAATAGTAAAGAATTAAAAAAAATAAAGATTTGAAAAGTCAAAAGCTATCTTAATTAAAACAAATGCGAGTTTTACAAGAGAGAGGAGTCAGAGGACTATGACTATACTCCAAAAAGGTGCAGGTATGCAGAATATACACGAGGTTTTCCCGTTTTCCCCAACCTATTGCTTAGGCATTTGATTTGGTGAACTGAACTCAATGAATATTAATATCACACAAAAACTTTCCCATATTCACATTGCCTGGAGAGATTCTTGAGGAGTTAAAGTTGACAACCATTCCAACAATGCCTTGTTCACGGCATCAGGAATCTCATCATGAGGACAGTGCCCTGCCTGAAAATTCACAAGACTCGTATTTGGATAAAACTCTTTGATCCTCTTAGCCTTGGCAGAGCCAACCCATGGGTCTAGGTCACCCCACAACAACAGCAACGGGCAGGACAGTTCACTTAGGACCCCGTCCAGCGTGTACTTGCTCTGATTCATCATGAAGCGCGTCATTAATCTGTTCATAACACAAGAACTTGTAACATGAATACCATGGTGACTTGGAAGAGAACGATGGCTAGTTTAGTTATTCAAAACACAAGCATTCCCTCAAGCTGTCATTCTAGACTTCATAGCATGACCAATATGATGCTACGAGGTCATTTACCTGTAATAAACTTCTCCAGCATTGGGGTCCGTGGCTGGCCTTGTTATAGATTCCACAAGATAGTCATCCACGTTGGCGGCATTTATGTAAACCTATTTTAAGAAATTATGCGGTGCTGTTAGATTAAACAGTGCAGCAATTGTAACAAGGCAGTGACCAAGATACGTATTCTATCAATGTAGAAACAAGTATGATTTATCGGTCTATTCAGTACTGTGAGTGCTACATCTTGGATATATCAAGGGAATTCAATTCAAGCTACTGGATGTCAATGTCAAACAATGAACTTTTTAAACACCCGGCATGCTAAAGAGAAACCAAAGTTGAAGCACATGGCAAGTAACCTACACTTTTAAGGACAGATTCAATGCGAGCTGGCTGTTTTGATTGCCAAAACAAAAGTGCCAGAACTACACGCTGAAAGATTTCCTTCAGGGGCTTCACCACAAACTTCTGCAGAGGTGTTTCTTCAGAATGTTTACTTTTGATATTTCCATCACTAAATTGCCCGGCAGAATTTAGCAAAACAACTCCATTGACGAGCTCTGGCAATCCAGTCGCTGCAACCAAAGCAGCAAATCCTCCAAGGCTGAAAAATTATAAGATTGGAAAAACATCAAACACAAGATGTTAGTCCAGAATCCAAATGCTGCAACTCATTAATGAATCTGGTAACTTGGGAACAAGGAACAGTTAAACTACACATGAGCTTCCTCCCCGGGCAATTAATATATGACAACATAGTAACTCAGAATAAACCTCAAGGGAAGTATAATCTTGCAAACCAATTTTTTATCCACTGGTGTACAGTCTGAGTTGCGGTAAGAAAATAGCCAAATGAAATAATGACTATGTAATGCAGATGCAATACTTTATTTCATTATGGTCATTACCTATTTCCCACTAAAACAGCTCGCTCTTTTACTATGTCCTTCAAGAAGTCCACCACTTGATCCCTCCAAACCAAGGCATCATACTCGATGATAGCTTTGTCACTCCACCCAAATCCCAGCAAGTCTATCGCATAAACCTTGTGTCTTTTAGCCAATTCTGGAATATTGTACCTGGAGACATGTAAATAAAAGTAAATGGATATCTACACAAATAGAATTAAGAACTATGGCACATAATAGTTAAAGTAGTGGACCAAAATAGTAATGCCGTATTACTAATAGTTATTCATCATCATTACCCTCATTACTGAATACTGACTATATTTGAAGCTTACAGTATTTTGTTCCGTTTTCTTTTATTTTACTATCAGCTCTACACCAAGTCAACTTGAAGTCACTGTTACAAAGTATGAAGTGCAGTTAAAGATTGAGCAGGCCACAGCAACAAAACAGAATCACAGAAAGTTCGTTCTTAGACTGAAAGAATTAGCTGGTGTGGTGTATCGTACTGGTAACAGCTAACATTAAATTGAAGTATTATAAAGGCAAACGAAAAAAGTACAAGATTTGGTGGCAAAAAGGAAAATGGACTGAGAGGAACAAACCTCCAGTGAAACGCAGAGGCCCCAAAACCATGAATAAGGACAACTGGAGAGCCTTCTCCCTGCACTACGTAGTGTATCTTATGACCCCTCCAAGTCCAATAATTGTACCCTTCTGGTTTGTATGGTAATCTTTCAACTCCTAAAGTAAAACTTAGCCTTTAAATAGAAGGCATGCAAGTAACAAATTTGTATGCTAGCTGGAGGGAGAGTCTAAGTGAACTAACCTTGAGCTGGTTTAGCAGTCAGAGTGGATTCCATAACCGAAAGACCAGAGGCCACAATTCCTTTCGCTGTAAAACTCCTCCTGCTCATTTCACATTTGCTTCCTTCAAATATAATGACCCATCCAATATCAGAACTTGTTTCGCAAAAGCAGAGAGACATAGCAATCGAATAAAAGTTCGACTTACGATGGTATAATGGCAAAGGAGCAATGAGTCTAGCTTTAGTTAGCTCTAACCGTACCGAAGGCGATAGTGCACATATAGAAGACATCGACAGTTCGAGAGATGTATGCAGTAACCAAGACCACTTAAATCAGATCCCCTGTGGTGGATTCGATAAAAATGGATACTTTGAGGAGTCTCAAAATCAGCAGTGACGCCCAAGAACTGCTGATTCAAGGAATTGGGTGGCTTGAGGCTTAAACCAGAGTTTATGTGGCTGGCGTCCGTTAGAGCGTCGTGGGAGACCATAGGCCAGAGAACCAAAGCGTCCCTGAAGCCAGATGACACTCTTACTTTTGTTTTTTTTTTTGGAACACGGCAGTTTGGTCCAGTAGGCCCCAAAAAATGCACAGTCTGAGTCTGTTGTAAAAAAAGGGTCCGAGTCAATTAGGGCCCATCTGGTAGAGTGACATTGGGATTAGAGAAGTGTAAAAAAAAAAAAAATGGAACTCTGAAAACTAACTTCCACTTCTTCAAGAAAGACGAGTTGCTTATTTTTGTGTTGGGTGCGATATATCTACATGTTAATTTTTGGTAACAAAGCAGCGTTCAAGGATTTTAGAACTGGTGGTTAAAGTAGTCATCGTTAAAGCGTGGCTGTTTTGGCGGAAAAAAGTGCAAGGGAGCGGGGCTGTGGAGTTCGGGAGAGCCGAATCTCGAATTGTCCGCCTCCGATCGCAGGCGGACAGAACGAAGTCTCAGAACTAGATCTCGAGTCCTGCTTCATCATTTTTCGCCATGGAAGCTTATTTGAGGATCTTCAACCCTTCCATTTTGGGAGGTCATTTAGTGCATAAATCGACCTCAGTTTCCCGCGCTTACCATCCAGCCCTTCATCTATCAAAAGCCTCGCGCCGTTTACTTCCCGCCCCTTCATGCCAACGGCAACGCGTCGCTCCAAGGACTCCTTTCTCCTCCAGTCTCTCCCACTCTTCGTGTTCCTCGATTTCTCCAAACTCAGAACCTTGCAGGTTCTTCTTCTCTCTCACCTCATCCCAATTTTTAAACTCTCCGAGTCCAACAAATAATTCCAATCCATTTCTATCTCATTCAGAGAGTGGTGGAATTGTGTGGAACCAAGCTTCTGGCAGTACTATTGATGGACACGTGGGTTTTTATGGAGACCAAGAGCAAGTGGCCACGGTGGTTTTGTTGGGGTGGCTCGGAGCAAAGACCAAGCACCTGAAAAGATACATGGAATGGTACAATTCGAGGGGTATTCACGCGGTCGCATTCGTCGTCGATGTAAAAGAGTTAATCTGCTTTGACCTTGGGCGGATGCTTGAGAGGCGAATCTCGATGTTCGCCGACGAGCTCGCTTCCTGGGTCTCAGGGAAAGAAGATGACGGGAGGGAGCGCTGTCTGATATTTCACCCCTTTAGCAACACGGGTTGGTTTAGGTATGTCGATTAATTAATCATGCTCTTCCATGGGCTTCATGTCATACACTCTAAGTGTTAATGACTGGTTTATTCATACTGAGTTCTGAGTATTGATGCATTCTGGGGCAATTCTGTTTCATTTTGTGATTATTTGCTCTGTGATTCATTGCAGCTATGGTGCCATTCTTGATAGAATGCTTGGTAGACAGGATCTGATGGACAAGATAATAGGATGCATCGTTGATTCAGGAGGGGGCGAACCGTTTAATCCGCAGGTTTTTATTTGGAAGCGGTCTGCTTGTATTTTGTTTATTTGCGCTTCTAAACCTTCGGCAGTATTATATATATTAATATATATATATATATATATATTTTACTTTCACTTATTTGCCCTCTTGGAGTAAGATAAATTGTGCTTTCTAATCTTCATTTCCCTTTGCCGGATGCTACCATAAAATGTTGATTAACAAATTTCGGAATCTATCTATGCTGTGCCTGTGTTACCTTGCGTTTCTATCTAAACTATATGAGCCTTTGTCTTTTGCTGCTCTGATTATCCGTGACCGTGCATCTCTTATATTTTCGACTTTCTTAAGCATATATCCTATGAATTCATTAAGTGCCCTCACAATTTTGTGGAGTGAATGAAGCATTCTTATTTACTGCAGCAACGACTTATCCTACCAAGTGAGGAATAACATCTCAGATCCATGTCATAGGCAATTCGATTCAGTTTTACCTTAAAGTTGCTTCATTTATTGCCTTCCAATTGCTGTCGATTTGGAATATGGGAGGTGTTTACATGCATCCTGACTATTATACTAGTTGGATTCAATGTTATGTTGACCGGAACTTATGTGGCCGTGTAACTTAGATCAGTCTTACACAGTGAAGCGTGTGAATCTCGTTATTTATAACAGTTAAGGACTTAGTCCTATGTCTTTGAATTTATGGCGTCAAGAAAAACTGCAGAACTCTGCATTTAGATGCAGGGAGTTTCCTGACTTTGTGTTTACCTAGTAGGTCTGGGCTGCAGGATTTTCTGCTGCTATATTGAAGAAACGCAGCTCTTCAGCCCAAACTGTAGTTGAGCCTAGAGACATACCTAAATCGGGAGGTGTAGATAACTCATCAAGAGTTCCAGAAATGGAATCTTCAACAATGGAGGCTGTGGTGTTGACGCTACTAGAGAAGTTCTTCTCTGTCACTCTGAAGTTGCCAGATGTGGACCGGTAAGTATCCTGCCTGGTTTCCTATTTTGCTTCATGATTCCCGTGCATGGATAGATCTGCAACTACTTTCAACTAGCAAGTTTCAAGTGATTTCCAAGATTTCAAGTGTTGGCAAAATATGTGGTGTGTGTTTGAACAGGAGGTTGTCGAAGATTGTGAGTGTGCTTAGGGAGCACCAGCCTTGCCCTCAGCTTTATCTGTATAGTTCGGCTGACAAGGTGGTTCCGTTTCAGTCAATAGAAGAGTTCATAGAGGAGCAGAGGAGGATAGGAAGGAGGGTAAGGTCCTTCAACTTTGGTTCATCCCCACATGTCGACCATTACCGGAATTTTCCCGACTTGTATCTGTCGCAACTTGATCAATTCTTGAACCACTGTTTTGCCGTTGTCAAGCACCCGTGATCCCCACAAATGGAGCTTTCGTGTTCCAATACAACTGTTAGTACTTCGTAGAAACACGCAATAGGCCAGCACAACTTCATTTCACAGCTGTGACACACTGGACACCGAGCATGGGCGACCGCATGGACCTTGTATAGCTCAATCTCTTGGGGAATGTTTTTTCTGGCCATAAATGGAATAATTACTTACTATACAAGTAATTGCACCGCATGTCTCAACAGTGTCAATACTTAATCAAGATTGGTGTTAACGGATGTAAATTAATTAACTACCAAACCGCAGGGTAATTTTTTAATACTAATGAACTTATAAGATATATAAAGAACTTTCATTTTAGTTGAATGAAATCAATTTTAGTTTTTTATTTAAAAAAGAGAAAAATTTATATAGTTAACCTTAAATACTTAATATATTTGTTTTCAAATAAATTCAAAACATGTGGATATTTTTATAAATTATTTATTCTATAATAAATTATTGTCATTAATATTATTAACCCATTGAAATCTATTTTTTATAATTTAATTTGATAAAATTATATTAAATATATGAGTCTTATCCTTTAAAAAAGAGAGAATTGCATCTAGAGCCAACATATTCAGATGTAAGTCCCAAATGATTTTTTTGATATGTCTCTTAAAGGCTAAGGATTTTATTTGCAATTATGTTCCTTACTAAAATGACCCAAATATCCTTCTCTCTCTAATCCCTCATTTTGTCGCTCCAGGACATTGTGAAGGAACACTCAATCTCTTCTTTCATGGCTACAAGAGTCGTCACAACAACTTTTGTTGCCACTGTTGTGTCACAACTGGTGTTTAAAAATAAGAGAATTTATGAGATTATGGTGTTTTTGAAGACATCCAAAACGATGTAGAGAATTCCAAAAGAATTCAAGACATTTAAGAAGAATTTAAAATGTTCCAAAAGGTTTTAGAAGCATTTAAAATAGTTTAAAAATAACTAGAGAAATTTGAAAGGTTTTAGAAATTTATAGAGAAAAATGAAGATATAAAGAATACTCTTAGATATTTTAATATGTTCTAGAATCTTTCACACATATTTTAAAGATTAGTTTAAAAATATCTTTATAAATATTTAAATATTTGTTATAAATATTTCTATAGAATATTTTGGATGATGAATGTATACTGTTAGATTCAATTGATCTCCACCATCCATTAAGGAGGTGGAAAAGTTTTAGAACACGAGAAAAGTCTATAAATACCCTCATACCCCTCATTTATAATTAACAAAAAACAAGCATATCAATAAAGTTTTTAAACTCTCTCATCCAAGCTCTCTCTCTTATGTTCAAATTTTCTAGTTCCTTCATCTACATTCTGAGAGTTCGGCTAACTTAGCCAAGATCAAGAGGTTGATCAAGTTAAAACTGGCACAATTTAAAGATAGAAAAGTTTTAAGATCGTGACAGTTGGCCTTGGAGTTGGCTATACCATCACCTCACGATGCTTTGTACAAGATGTAAAGGTAGGATCATATATAAAAGGAGATATATGTATTTTATATGATTTTTGCATCAATCAACAATACCAATCAAATAATGATGATTAATTTTAAGTTTGTCCTACAATGTTGCAACTGGCGGTTGATTTTGGTGGGAATTTCCTGGTGAAAACATCGGTGCTCTTAGCTATGGGGAGGAGAAAAGCGGAAGTTAAATGCCTCATCTCTAGAGAGCATTGGAGTGAAGAACCCATAAATGGAAGTTCTAGAGATGAAACACATTCCGTGAATGTGAAGAAGCAAGCCAACTCCCAAGAGAATCACGCTTGGTTTTGAAATCTAGTGCTAATTCCAATCAAGGTTAACTATTATTTGTGATTTCCAACCACCTTCATATATCATCCAAGGAAAAAAAAAAAAAAAACATGTCAGAAGTGGAAGAGAAAGGTGCAAGAGCGATTGAGCAAGGAAGAGGAAGAGAGGCAAAAAGGGTAATTGGGTTATTTAGTGACATAATAAAAGCATTTAGACCTTATCTGTAACTACGTTTTTTTGAGGGCCCTGGAAGCAAGTTTTCCTAAAAAACACTCGCCCCATGCCACTATAATCCAAATTTGAACTTGTAGGAGATGGAGGATACGAAGCCTAAACCCCTTGTATTGTACTGAGTGTAAGGGGGATGACAGATTGGTCCCAAAAGACCAATTTAATTCTATGCAAGTCTCAAAATATTCTAAAACACGGTAGAAGTCCCAAGGCCCTTAAAGAGATTATATAGGCAAAGTAAAATTACCTAAACAACCTCGCCTGAATTTCCCAAAATCTTAGTCCAGATCGAGGAAGGCAACATCATGATCAGAACAGAGAAACACAAACCTTACTCAAATTCCAAGACACTACATGCTTAGCCGCTCATACCTCTACATCCTCCTCTGATCTTTGTGCAATGGTTCAATGCCCATTAGAGATTGTTCTTCTTATTCATGGCCACCATTGTACTACTCTTATGCTGATGGAAGCTAAATCGTTCACCTCTATCTTGAAACCCTCACTGTCTCACCATCATCTGGTTCAACTGTGGCTTTCTTCTTACTTCAGTGTTAGGAGAGAGGCTCTTGATTGGATTCGGAAGATTGGTTGATTAATCTTCTTCATTGGGGCTGTCGGTTTCGGGGATTTTTTTACCCCATCAAACCTTTCTTTCTATGAAAGTGGATACAAATCTTTGATTTTGATTATTTTTCCAACTGAGATTTAGCATTTTTTGGGGGGGGGGGGTAGTTGCAAATTTAAAAAGCTGGAATTGCAAATTTGGGACGTGAAATCACAAATCCTTTGAAGCAAGAAAATAATGATATGTTTCATTTTAAATTTAGTTACCGAGCTTTTTGTTTATCAATAAAATTGGAAAAACTAATTACAAATTGAAAAAGATGAATTTGCAAATTTGGAATACAAAGTCACAAATACTTGGAAGTGAAAAGAATGAAATATTTCATTTTAAATTTAATCATTTAGGTTCTTCAATAAAAATGAGAAAACTAGTTTCAAATTCAAGAATTGAAATTGAAAAATTTTGAAGGAAAATAATGACATGTTTTATTTTAAATCTAATCACTAAACTGTGTCCCTCAATAAAAAATAAAAAAAAGAGAGAGGAAAAACTAGTTGTAAATTTAGAAAAAAAAATTATAAATTTGGAACAAAATTGCAAATCCTTGAAAATGGGAAAATAATGACATTTTTATTTTAAATTTAATCATTTAGTTGTGTTTTTCAATAAAAGGAAAAAGAAAAACTAGTTGCAAATTCAGGAATCAAAGTTTTAAATTTGGAATACAAAGTTGCAAATCCCTAAAAATAAAAATAAAAATAATGACATGTTTCATTTTAATTATTAAACTTTGACAATCTGAACTCATTTCTTTGATAATATCTTAGGTATTGTTTAAATAACTTGTCAATGCAAAAAATTGCAATGTTTTTAAAAACAGGAAAACTAGTTACAAATTAAACCATGAGTTGCAAATTAGTGAATAATAGTTGTAAATCCTGGAAATTGATCCAATATTTTGTATGACACAATTCTCATTTCCTCATAAAAATGAGCAGAACAGTCGCAAAATAAAGTATTCAAAATTACAAATCAGGGAGTATTAGTTGCAAATCCTTTGAAAATATTTTGCAAACTATAGGCTCCAAACCATTTACAAAATAGAAACAATAGTTGCAAATTGCAATTTGCATTCTCTGATGCATTACAACCATATTTTCCTTGCCCTCTGCAGTAGAAGAAATTGCTTCATCTCTGACATCATTTCTTTCATTGCCTCATAGTTTTTTGCTCATCGCTTCATTGTCGTATGCTGCAACTTCATTTTTGAAGTATAGATGAGCAAATTTGTGCAAATTAAACCTTAACCAATTACAGAAAGTAATGAAATCAGTTTGCAAATAGCTAAGTTACTTATTGTCTACTTCAGTTTACATATTGAAAGTTGAGCAAATATGCTTACATTATGAAAGTTCAAAATTAGTTTAGCCATGAACTAATTTTGCACTGTAAAGCAAATAGAAGCTTTCTCTAATATTGAAAATTCAGTAAATATGTTCATATGTCAAAAGTACAATAACATATTCCTCATTATACCCTCTCCAATCATCTTTATAGTTTTATCGAGTTTTGCTTTTAATTCTTGTAATTTTTTTCTAATGTTTTCAGTTTCTATAAAAACTAAAATCACTAAAAAAATGAAAGCTATAAGGTGTAACATCCCAATTTAAATTTTAATAGTTAATTTGGATTAATAGAAATTTTTAAAAAAATATTTAGAGATAAGTAAATTAGTAGGAGATGATTATTAAATCTAACTTAGGATATAATTTTAAATTAAAATTTTAAAAAAATATTAATTAAAAAAATTAATTAATTAAATTATTATTATTATTATTAATAAAAAAAAGAGAAAAGAAGAAAAGGTATGAGAAAGAGGAAAAAAAGGAGAAGAAGAAGAAGAAGAAAAGAAGTACTTTCGGCGTCCCGCGTGCTGCAATCATTACGCATATATAATAATAATAATAAAAGAATGAAGAGAGAGGAAAGAAGAAATAATAAAAAAAATGTGGAACCCAATGAATTTTTATAAAAACTCACCTGGTTCCTTCGTTTCTTCATTCTTTCCTTCGTGCGTGAGTTGAGGCAAAGTGAGCGTGCGTCGCCGGTGCGAAAGATCTGAATTTTTAAGGTAAGAGTTTTTAATAGGATATTTAGGGTGTGATTTCAAGTTTTTTAAGACTAAGTAAGTGTTCTAAAAAATTTTTCTTAGTCATCCTTCTTCTTTGGTTTCTAATTTTATGGTGGTAGAAAATTTAGGATTTGAAAGAAGGATGAATTTATGTTGAATAAATATAGTTTTTAAGGTTGTTAGTAGTATAATAAATATTCTAGAGTATAAATTTGTTGATAATCTTTGAATTTGTGGCTTATGGATCAAATTCTAAACTAGATTTAAAAATATATGTTAATTTATTGAGATTTAGATGATTATTTGGGATGCGAAATGAATTATTATGGCTATAGGATTATGATTCTAAGCTAGAGATTCAATTTTTAATTTTTGAATATTTTAGATACAAATTTATAAAATAAAAAGAAAATTTTGATAATAGAAATTAGTTTAGAAGCTGATTTTTAGATTATTAATGTTTATTGATGACTAAAAGAGGAGTTAAAAATTTTACTT